CCAATTTACTCATTACCAACCAATGAAATAAATTCAGAAATCTGAGGCATAGACTCCTAAAGGGTTGTAGTGCCACTAGATATATATAGACCATTCTCAGTCACAAATTATGGTATTTAATGAGTATATAGGATTGTTACCTACCACAGAATAAAAATTCCAGTCTCCATAGCCATAAGGTATATTTCCCTTAATAAATTCTTACATTAAACGTATTTTCCTCGCAATTGACGGGTCTTAGATCCCTAAATGTATGATTTTTCCTTAGCGTTCTCAGATGTCAATCAACACTTGGCGGCTACGAGTGCTACAGGAAAGCCGATTTAATCTTCAAACGTCAGCCCTAAATCTTTTGATATCAGAGCGTGTCGATATTTCAAACGGAAATGAAAATAAATCTATCTTAAGATCTGATTTTTAGCCGGTGGCCTTTTAAAGGCCTTTAAGTACGACTTGACTTTGTATGCTTACCTCTTTATCTAGAATTTATGAATGAAAGACTTGAAAAGATTTTTATCTTATCTAATATATTATAGAAATTAGTTACAATAAAAGTCTATTTTAAGTATTTTTTGGTTAATGTTACCTAGTCTCGAGTGATCTTTAACACCAATTTAGGTCTTCTCATCACGAAGTTTTATAATAAAATCACATACCACGCTTTTGACTTATAAATTAACCTTTTTATCTTCTACATAGTTCTGTGAACGCTGCAATATTTCAAACGCTTACCTTTAGCTAAAAATATTAGAATAAAATAAAAAATATTCCAATTTCGGAAACAGATTGCGGCACGGGCATCCCCTATAAATATATTAAAGAACGAATTATGACTTGCAGAACGGTGTGTTCAACCTTTTCCATGAAAATAGAGGTTAAATAGGACCCTTTATAACGCCCGAAATATCGATTTAAACGTAAGTCATTTGATATTCTGAAAGCTGTGGTCATTAAAGTTAGCTTTAAGTTTAAGTGATATACTTTTAATAAAATACAACTGTTTGAAAAATATGATTAAAATAGTTATGAAAAAGAAACGCGATGGCAACTGAATTAAGCGTTTCAAAATGTAAATATGGTTGTATCTGTTTGAATAAAAAAGATTCTAGTGTATTTTTCTTCGTAGTGTTCAGTACAGAAGGTAGCCTGTCTTGAAAAGCATTAACTGATACATCAACATGCTGCCTCCAAACCACTCTATCCTCAGCTTGTCTCAGGGCATTATGGATGTTGAGATTCATAATTGGTAGGCGATCGACCACAATTTTTCCTGTCTCTCCTGATCAACTGCAACTCGTCCCAACCAGTTTGTCAAGACTACCCAGTTTTCTCCTGGTAGTAAGCAGCACGCGTTTGTAACTGATAGTCTTGTGGTGATCTTTGGTTTAAGCAAAAGTTATTATATGTATTGTTTTTTTAAATGAATAGAACTTCTTAGTATATTTATACGCCTATAAAAATGCGGCAAAAAAATAACTCTCGTTTCGGATTCTATTCCAGTCTCAAGGGTTTCTTTTTCGTTTTTCATCATAAACAATACCATAGAAAAACTTAAACTGACCATTATTTAAAAAGTTAAACGTTTACTCATTTAAAATTACACAGGTGTGTTCCAAGTCTCTGGTCGAAAGCCAATTTACGTTCCCTTTTTACCCTCTCAATTAATCGTAAAGATCGAGTTGAGCCCAAATAGGAGGATCTAGAGAGCATTTCAAGTATACTCGTGCTCTTGAGTCAACCCACTTGTAGCTACCACACCTTAGATATTGTATTTAACCGGTAGACACGAAGGAAAATACGTAGATGTAGTCTGTGTACGTAAGTACATTTCGTACGTGGTTTCCGATTTCTACATAAGTTATATATTTTTACGTCGGGTTTTTTTTTTTATTCATCGATTTTTCATGCTAAAAAACACTCGATTAATTAAAAAACCGATTTTTTTATGCAGAATGTCACATCTCTAATACCAATAGAAAAGTAGAAAATGTACGGTTTGTTTACGAATTTCAATACATTACACAAAGTATTACATCATTTTATTTAATACTTAGACGCAACTCCGGCAGCAAAAATCAAAGCTTCGAGGTGTTCCAAAGTCTTCTAAGACACCTACATAATGAGTATCATTAAATTCGAGCGACGGATTTCTAAGTCGTTAATAATATGAGACTATAAAATATCAAAGTCTCAAATAGAAATGTAAATCTTGTTATACTGAGATTACGAAAACTAATATTTTCTTTAAATTGTGGTAAGAATTATAAAGAATTCGACTTCGTAAGTGGTTAGGTGAATGACTTACACTAAGGGCTACGCTATTTGAAATACTTAATAATTTACAAATTAATTCGCGAGAGAAGAAGAGTCCCACAACTAGGCATAAAGTCAGGGCAAAATGTTCCCTTTCCCACTTTGCGATATAATAGTTTTTGCGTTTTTTTCTTTTTATAACTTCCGTTTGATCAATACCATTTTTTTTCAAACTGCTCTGACCCGCTAACTTGTATTTTCCACCATTGCCATGCTTTGCCTGAGTTGGAGCAACTTCTATGAAGCACTCTAAGTTGCAAACTTTGTTAGAAACATTAATAGTTAAGGTCCACCACGAACTAGATCCAGAACTTTGTTTTAATATGTAGCACCTTTGCATCTTTTGACTGATCTTAAATTAAATTATTATGATTCATGTGCACTTTTTACTTTTTATTTTTCATGTATCCTTTATTAGTTTTGTTTGTTTTTTGTTCCTGTTTAGTTTCTTTTTTTTCTTAATAACTGTAGGTAATATGTATTTTACCACTTCTTGCTTATCTAATTTAATACATTTTTTTCTTTTCTCCCACTGGGTGCCTGGAAGAGATCGCTCGAAAGCGATAATGCCGCCAGTTGCCCTTCTTTACTTTTAATTAGTTAAATTTTTATATTGTAATGCAACGAAGTGTAAATAAAAAAAATGTGTCTGTGTACTAGTGTACACACGTAAGAAGTGAAACTTCTTTATGACCTTATTTCTCGAATTAAAAATAAGGTCATAAAGAAGTTTCATAAAAACTTTACAGAGATTGGTTAAATAAAAGTTGAATCAGATAAAGTTTAAGAAAAGGCTTTTGTTATCATAGATATGAATACAAATAATACAATAATTTAATTTTACCTTATTACTACTAAGATTATTACAGAATTTCATTAATTTTAATATATTTTTGTTATTAATGGCTTATGGTAACTGAAATATGAAATATATTGTTTGCATTCCAACATTATCTTTTTTTGACGATTAGGCTCCATTATTTTTCAACTTGTATACTAATTGAACTAAATCAGTCCATCCAATTTCATTTGCACTAATGGTGAGAAACATTGTTGGTTTACCTATCTGTCTAATCATTGCAAATATTTTTTTGTTTTTCTCAGCCCAGTACCATAATGAATTGATTTCAGAAATGTAAAATTAGTTTCAATGCAATTGTTGACATACCTAATCATCATTTTCAATTTGTTCACGTGTGATTTTTGTGTCTTTCTCTATATGTTTGAAGGCAGGATAATTTTTTTTACGTTATATTTAATGAATAGTGCCGTATTATATTTAGTTATAAATAGAAATTATGCTTTTAAATCATTATTATTTATGTCAAAAACCGTGTAGTGCGTTTTTGGTGAATAAAACTAGATGGCTCTCATTTCAAGAGGGTATCTATAGACTGTTATTTTTACTATAAACACTTTTCTTTGATTTTAATGTTTATAATACAATTTTATGTTATGTTCTTAAATAATTATTTTATCTATTAATAAATTATGAAACATCTGGTTCTTCATATTAACGACACTACAATACTTTTTGTTTCGCACAGGCAAATATGTATACAAATTAAAATTAACGAAGGTTATTCGTAGTATTACGTAGCGTTACGCCAATTCAAATCACTAACGGCATTAATTTAATATTGGTTTGGTTTTTTTTTTTTTTTTTGTATATGATAGGGGGGAAACGAGCTTGCGGGACGACCAAAAAGAGCAGTCTTCGCAGCCCATAGACACCCACTTTTAGTGGGTGCGTTGCCGGCCTTTGAGGGAGGTATTTTACTTTTAATGGTTGCAAATTAAAACAAAGATATCTAATTCATTCTCCTTTACTTACAAACTACAGTATGTGAGCACTATCACAATATAGAAAAAGTGCTATTTAAAATAAAATTAAAATATTTACAATTATGTCACAGTTAAAATGCAATAAAATTATACAGGTAGGTAATTTAAGAAAAATCACTGGTGGATTGTCATTGCACTCTGTATACGATTTATTCAATAAATAATCTTTCAACCATTAGATTCAGAATTTCATTAATTGTAATAGAATTATAACTATCACGGTTATCGTTATTAGATGCGCGTAACGGAATAATGTGACGCGTAACCGAAAAATGTGAAAATATTTTAAAGAGAATGCATAAATTCAACTGCAGGAAAATTTATTACAATATAATAATGATATGAAAATGAACAATGTAAATTCACATTGACTCTATGTTAACAAACCTGTAAAGAAAACCACCAAAGAAATGCAAATGCACACTAATAATCATATTATGATCTCATGCTCACAAGTTATCCAAAAAATAATAATTAAGTTTACTTAGAATGAAAAGAGCGCGGCCTATCACGTTCAGCAGTAACCAAGTTTGGTGCGTGCTTAAAAAGCGTCATCTATAGATATTTTTTTCCATTACAGTTAACAGTAACTGTTTATTAATTAAATAGCGTTAGTAAAGTAAAAAACTTTACTTTAAACACCGCCATCTATCTCGATCGTCAATGTTTAGCGTAATGTTTGTGAATAATTAAAACTGAGTAAAACAGAGGCGTCGTTGACGTTATAATTATAAACTTTAATTTAATGTTTACAAATGAAAACAACATGTCATTAAGGTTAACCATTCATCGCAAAGTCTATGGGAACTTAAATCTGTAGGCTTAGCTTTGCCAATATAAACTTAAATAGAAATATATCTTATTGGCAAATCATTGCTCATATTTCTGTAAAACAATCCATTCATTCCAGTTTTTGGTGTGAAGTACCTCCTTAAAACTTCTCTAACTTCTGCAACTGTAATTGCTTGGACTCCTTCATAGCCTGACTTAATGTATACCGAATTATTAAGACTGAGGGGATTACAGAAATAACCACCTTCAAACTTACTAAATGGATCACCTGATTTCTTTTTGCTATCTTGCCTAATTAGAAAAACAGCATCAACTATTTCGGCTACTGTCTCATAAGCTAAGAAGCAAAGTATTTCCAATGCTTGAAGGTTTATTTTTAATTCTTTATTGGGGTTAACCCATTTTTCAAGTTTTATAAAACCTTTATTTGTACCATAACCACCACGGAAGGAACTACACCGTGCTTTATGGTAAGCCTCATATTTTTCAAATGACATGGCTTCTGTTAGCTTTGATGCTCTTACTTTACGCAAATAATCTATAACATCAAACTTTATTTGACTCACTTCATCGACTTCATCAAGTTCCTTGATAAATTCAATATGTGTGCGTTTCTTTTTAGCAGTTATATCTTTATCATCTTCTACACTTGCTAAAATAGGTGCTGTAGATATGCTAACAGTAGCTTGGGCTTGACTATTTTTTTCTATATATTCTAACTTTATTTGATAATCATGCAACCTCTTTAACTTCACAGGATTCTTCCTCATTAAGTATATGATATCGAAGTTTGATATAGATTTAGCTCCTCGCATAATGGAATGATTTAATGCTTCTTGGAGCATGGAACGCAATTGTTGTAAAACAATACTCTCTACTAGAACCACTGTAGCAGCATTTGGATTTGGATTATCACCACAACCGTGCATCATATTTGAAATTTCCTTCTGAAAATTTGTCACTTCACCAGTGGCATCTAAAGTGAAGTAAGACACCATCTTGGAAACTCAATTTTGTATATTCATATATTTTAGAAATTTTAAGTTTTTGTCACTTATTTTTTTATTTTAGTAGCTTAGTTCTCGTTTGTAAATTCAATGATCCACAGATTAGATATGAGTAGTATATAAGCTAAATCTAAAAGCTAACTACAGAGCCTTAAATCACTGACTATGTTTTTTAATTATTTAATTTTAAAGAGACAATAATGTTAAAGAGACACTGACTATGTAATTATCTAAATAGACAGTTAATTCAAGTAAATTTAATTTATTTTATTCGTAACTACTTGATCTGTGACTATCACCAACGCTGGTCTGTGCAATCAGCTGATCGTCAAAACTCGATTATGATATTTGAGCAATCTGAATTCTGAATCTCAATTCTCAATCTACTTTTGTTTGGACAAATAATGCAAATACATAATTTGTATTTTATTAAAGATAATTGAAATGTGATGTCTAGTGTAACTGTGGCAATGTGATTACTGATAATTAGTATCGACTATATACCCCAATATAAAAATAATGTCAAAGGAAGTAATATAGGTACATGATATAATTCATAACCATCGCAATTTCGTAAATTGTAACTTATATTTATATTATCTTAGGACTTAAAATAAATTTAATAATGTATTTCATAAAATTATTTGCAAGTTTATCAACAAGAAATTTAGTTTTATTACAAGCTCGGAACATAAACTGTTGGTCATGCGGCAAAGATACAACTTTAGTTGCGAACTTATTTTGTTCAAATTGCAAAACCCTTCAAAAGCCAGATAATGTGGAAAATTACTTTAAGTTGATGGGGGTTGATGAATCCTATGACTTAGATGAGGAGGACCTATCAAAGAGATATAAACAACTTCAAAGATATTTGCATCCAGACAAATATGCAAACAGGTCATTTTTTAAATTGCTTTAAGTTATAGCTAAACTAAATTATGCATGTTAAATTACTTACAACATCTTAATATTCACTGAGTTAAGAACAACTACACAGAGAAGAAATTATATTATAAAAAGAGTAATTTTTCTGTTTGCTAGATCTAAGAATATATTATGAAATAAAATGTAATTTTTTTGTTTGCAGAAATGAAATGGAGCAAGAAATATCAGCAAAATATTCCTCTTTAGTCAATGAGGCCTATAGAACTCTATTGGAACCCTTACCTAGAGGTAAATACCAATTGACCAGTCACTTTAATGTAATTTTAAAAGATTATCATAAGTTGACATCATAAGTTTATATATTATATGTACATACTTTAATTTCCAAAAAAAAAATTAAAAAATAATATATTTTTAAGGTATTTATATGTTAAAGCTTAAAGGAAAACAAATTGAAGAAAATATGGAGACAGATCCTGCCTTTTTAATGGAAATAATGGAGAAAAATGAAGAAGTTGAAAATGCAGAAACAGAAGCTGAAATTATGAAACTTAATAAAGAAATAAAATTGATCATTCAAGATCTTCAAAAAAGGTTGTCAACTGCATTTTTTGGTGGTGACATGAAAAATGTTATGAAATTATTGGGACAGATGAAATATTATTCTAGCATATACAATCAAATTCAAAACTCTATTCGGAATAAAGGAATTATAAGATAAAGATTACATGTTTTTGCATTATGCAAAAAAATTAATATTGTTGTAAATAGAGTACTTATTTATAGCTTTGTTTATTATACATATGAATGTTAATTTTTTTTATTTCTTCTAAATAGTATTATTACACTTTTAACAGATAAAGACAATCAAAAATATTAAAACCTTGTGATGATTATATTTTTATTTATAAGCACAAAAAATTCTGTTCGTTAGACACTTCTAAATGGAGCTGTAGTATAATATACAAAGTCAAAATAATTTATTCATATAAGTAACACAGTGTACACTTATGAACGTCAAAAAAAAGGAAATATATATATGAAATGCTTCTAATTTTACATTTACTGCCAGTTCTCAAATATAAAAAAGCTTGGATTATGATGAACTTGCGAAAGTTTTAATTGGGGAAAGAGTCACATCAGCCGATTAGCAATAGCCATAGCCACTCTGCTGAAAATATGGCCTCGCAGAATTGTATGTGATATAGGTTTGTAAACGTTATTTTAAGTCTGAGCAAATAACATTGTTCTTAAAATTTCGTTCGTTCGCATGCTATACTTATGAAAGTAACATTTTGAACCGGTACCACCTATCAATTAAAAACATATTATATCTTCAAAACGAGACGTTTAAGGTACATGGTCAAATTTCTAAATTACGCACAGCCTCCTACCAACATGATTGATGTCGGTAATTTCCTACAACACGCCAAGTACCTATTTTATGCTTTATCCTAAACAAGCTATTGCACTCGGTTTCTCATGCTCCTTAAATCAATTATGGTTTATGGTTACTTAATGTACACTTATGAACGCCTGTAAAAAATAATGCATCTAAATCTAGATTTACAGCAAGTTCTTAAATTATGAGCGTAAAACGGACGACAAATACTGGTAAACTCTCCGTCACTTTTAAATCGCCAAGGTAAAACAATATTATAATGGTCATTCTTTCTTTATATGTAGTCATCTACCACAAGCATTGACTAATTAATCCTATATCCTAATTATATAGGCTATATAATAAAGTGACCATTTAATGAAATCATCAATTCTTACATCGGGGAACGATAATATATAGGTAAAACTACAACCTCGACGCGGAGTCGAACAATTTTATAGCTTGTGTGATACGTTAATTAAAATCCTGAAAAATATATATATCGTCTGTGAGGTCTCATACTGACAAATAAGTTTTAACCTATCATAAAAATCTCGCAAACAAACAAACAGGAAGTAGGTTGTGAATAACAATAGCATATAGTATATGAAACCATTTTAATACTTGAAGTAAATAGTAAATATTGAACTGTAAGGCTGATTTGAAATTCGTTTCGGCAACTCACTAGTTCAGAGCTTAACACTATACCTAGTTCGCTAATTTGATACTCAATTATATTTAGGTACTAGTGGACCCCACAGACGTTGTCCTGCATGATATTTAAAGCGATTAGGATATTAAGCAAAGTATGAAAGTACCGACTGCAGTGCCATCTGCCGGGCTGATTTGTGAATCTAAACCATTCCCAGATCCCCTTGAACACACACAAAAAATTTCATCAAAATGGGTCCAGTCGTTTGAGAGGAGTTCAGTCACATACACACGCACAGAAGAAATATATATATTAAGATAAGAAAAATAATGCAGTGCATTCAGATTAGTAGATAAATTAACTATCGCCTTATAATCAAATTGATATTACATTAACATCCTAATATTTAATATTTTAAAAAAGCGAATAAGCATCATAATCTCTTCATCAATGTATACAAAGCTACTTAGATATTATATTCCTATTATTACACCACCGCAATAAATCTTTAAGAAAGTACCGTATGAGTTGCGATTCATCAGTTTAAAGAAAGCTTTCTTAGGAAAAGTACCATATATTCTCCTACTCAACCTACTGCAACATTAAAAATGATTTTGGAGTGTCAATTCATACAGATGCTTGTTTTAACGTGGTTTTATAAATACGGTAAGTTAACCACCTTCCAAAATAATATTTTAATTAATTCGTATTTATTTGCGTAGATTTTAAAATTATTCGCAACATAGAAAATTATGGTAGTTTGAAAAACTTTAATTGAAAAGTTTCATGGATAAAGGATACTTTTTTTGAGACACCTACCAAAAAAAAAATTGGATTTTTTGTATATTTCTTCTTAATTGACATTGGTACGAGATATAACGCTGATCCAATGTTCAAAGCGCTTTACTTTTCCATGGCTATTCCCTCGTACTGTCTCTGATCCATAAAAAACGTGGTATAATTGAAAAATATGTCATTTAATTACATTTTTATATGAAATTACCTACGATTTTTATTAAATTACGTGTTTGGTCTCCAGCCAACGCCCAAAGCATTCGAGTATTGGGAGGGTCACCGACTACGATACAACAATTTCCTGTAGTTGCACAATTGTTATTAGACCCCTGGGATAAAGGACAGTATTCCCAGCATTGCGCAGGAGTCATCATCACCTCTCGACACATTTTATCCACGGCTCATTGTTTTCAATACAGCAGTGAAACTGGATATAAGTAAGTTATTTTTAACAAGTTCTATCTTTGACTTTATAGACCTCAGACTATTCTATTTTAGGTAATTAGGTAGGTAGGTACAATTTTAGGTCGCTAGTTAAGAAAACAATCTGGTGAAATATGCCAAATATTATTTTTGTTTTTTTTTACTAATATATGTAATATTATATTTGATACATTGGTACAAAAACAAAAGAAAATAATAAAACTAAATTTAATGTGTCACATTTCTTCATTAGCACTATATCTATACATTATGCAAAAATAACAATCACGATTAACGCTTATTCTAATCAACATTTTTATTATTAGGATATCAAACTTTGCATATTATTATTATACAAATAGGGGTAGCATAAAACATGCTGACTGTTTTGAATATCGACTTTGCTCGAGTACCAATATTTGAAAAAAATAATATGACGGTCAATATTACACGGGTTAATAAAATCTTAAACTATACTTTTATAGATATGTTTTTTATGTTATGAATAAAAATGTTTTTATTCTTTATTACAAGTACATACATGAATTAATTTATTTTGGATTTAGAGACCCTGTGTCAGAGTTCTCAGCTCTTCCCTAGCATCGTATGTAGTTGAAACGTACCTAAGAATAGCAGTACATTATAATAAGGAACTGTAACTCTGTGTTTTTTCTTAATAAAAAAATATGTTACAGCTACAGTGATCCCCAATTCTGGCGAGTACGTGTAGGGTCGTCTTTTCGCAGCCGAGGTGGCTTTCTCCACAAGGTGAAGACTGTGGTCACTCATGAAGAATTTGATAGATATTATTTTACCAACGATATAGCCGTTCTCGTGGTCGCAAAAAAGTTTTATTTTGGCGACACGATCAAGCAGGCCACGATTGCCAACAAAGGAACTGAGCTTATGCTAAATTCCTTATGTACCTTGGTGGGATGGGGAGTTACACAGGTATGTGTGAAAGTTATAAAAATATTATAGATATATATGTCTCGTTACTAGCTTCTCGTTTATCTTTATCCAGTTCAGCATGGCGTTTATTTAACCCATAATTTTTTTAAAGTTAATTTTACTTTTCTTCACAATAAAACCACATAACGGTTCGCAACGCACTTGAGTTGCAGGTTGCAGTGGTAACAGTTGTCTATGGACAATAGACAACGGTTGTCTCTTTATAAATTATTAAACATTGTTGCTTACCCTCATAAAACAGCATACTTGTTGCTTTTTTTTAGGTATAGTATTTTCTAAACTAAAAACTAAAACCTATATAATCTAACTTTTAGTGTAATAAGTATTATCCTTGCTTATAAGCTCTCTAACTGTATTCTTTTTATTTTTAGGTTGGAGGCCAACAAGCAGATCAACTTCAATTAGCAACACTGTTCACAGTGGATCAAAAGGAATGCAGCCTTCGTTATAAAAGTATTGGCTCTGTTATATCAGATTCTATGATATGTGCGGGTCGTATCGATATCGATGGAATAGATGGTTGTTTCGGAGATTCTGGTGGACCAATATTTTATAAGGGTGTCGTTGCAGGCTTGGTGTCCTTTGGATATACATGCGGTAATCGGTTTTACCCTGGAGTGTACACCAAAGTATCTTATTACGTTGATTGGATTGTAAATGCTATAAGACGACACAAGTGATTATAAAAATAATTTTTGGACTGTTGGTAATTATTTATTTTAATAATAAATAAAATAGCTTCAAATATAGTGTACACTATATTAAGCCTTACGTGAACAAACAAATTGCATTTGAAAAATATAGCACACTTGGAGATGTTATTTTGCACAATTTTATTGATATTTTAATTATTTTTACACTAAAGAAAATTGTAAATAAAACACCACCGGATTGTGGTCAAATTGTAATTTTTATTAATAAATTATTAATAATTGTAGTCTTTGCTTTTGTATTTTCTTCGCCAACACCCTCTGACCTTTTTTTCCTTAATGATCAAAAATAAAACAATCCTTTTCCAGTTTCCACTCTTCCACACAAAATGGTGGATTTAGCATGTATTTCAGAGACTTATGAGAGGTTTTCATTCGTAAGTAGCCCTTAAAATCTTCAAAAAACCCATTAGGTAGCATCTACTAAACTAAAGTACACTTTCGTAAAATTGTCTTTCTCTATGAGCAATAAGCATAAGGTCAACTGTCATATCGGATACTTCATTAGTCATATTTCTTTTAGAACTTCAGATAATAGATACCTCATACCAGTAACCAGAATTTAGAAATCGTTTCTTAAAGTTTCCTCCGACTTGCATTTGACTAAAAATTAAACGTTTATTACTTTTTGCAAAAAAGAAAGTTAAAATTTTGTTGTTGAAGTATAATGGGAAGCAAAGGTGTTATTGGTTTTGTCCAGGACTTTTATTACGATCCATTCAAATGGTTAGTGCATTTTTCATAACCTCTCAATGTATAGTAATATTTCATATCCTCACTATTTATGGTTTCCAGTTCTAACTTATCTTTTAACCAATAACTGCGTACAATCAGCTCCCTTTATCATAACCGCAATTTTTTTCTTATCTTTCAGGTCAGTTGTAAAAAGTGTTGGATTTTTCGCAATCGGCATAGTTATAGCTAAAGAGTGCACGGGCCTAGAAGTTATGCCAGCAGTGCCTCAATAAATTACACAATACAAATTATAGTAAAATGTTAAGTTTTATTTTTTTATTACTCCTCCACACGTCACTGTGTGAGGATAGAAAACCAAACTTTGTTATAGTTCTAACCGATGATCAAGATGTCACATTGGGAGGAATGGTTAGTAAATTAAGTGTAATGTCTTAATTTGAATAAATGAATTAGCAAATTGAATTGTTGTTTTATTTGATTTTCAGACACCAATGCAGAATGTGCAGAGATTCATAGCAAATGAAGGCACTTCTTTTGCAAACTCTGTAAGTAAATAACATTTATATTTTATAAATATACAATAGTTAACCATAAGAAAAAAGAAACAGAGGAGAGGAAAACTTAATATATGTATTTAGTTTTGTGTATTATTTATAATACACAACACACTAAATAATATCTGAAATACAGATTTGGTTCTGAAGTTACTGACTGTCAATAAAAGATTAGTTAGATGTTAAAAAATTGCTACTACTCACACCTTTCAAAACTATTAACTAATAAACAATCATCAAATTACAGTATGTAACATCACCAATCTGTTGTCCAAGTCGTGCTAGTTTACTCTCTGGTCTACATGTCCACAACCATCTGACTTGGAACAACAGCCTTCATGGTGGCTGCAACGGAAGGTATTGGAGAAGGTTAGAAGCAAGAACATTTGCCACTACCTTGAAAGGTGCTGGCTATAATACTTTTTATGCTGGGAAGTATTTAAATACAGTGAGTATCTTTTCATTTTCTTATAAAGCTTTACTTACAGAAGTATAGTGTGTCTTAGTTGATATTAAACTGTAAATATTTAAAAAAAACAAATTGTATTTGTATATTATAATGTTACTTTTGTATTATATAATTATTATTATTTTTGTCTAATATAATTTCAGTAAATTATAATGTATTAGTGTGGATTTTTTGTACGAAATATTACACTTTCAAGATGTCTTCCATCACTCTTCAAAGTTGACTAGTGAATTTGCTGGACACCAACTGATATGGCTCTCACTTCTGTCATTATTATAGTCTTCAACTGCTCAAATTCGTAAGAGGGGCATCATAAACTCTTGCTTTGAGATAACCTCATAAAAAAAGTCAGCTGGGTTTAAGTCAGGAGAACTGGATGGCCAGAATAAGTCTCTAAAGCGTTGATTTTTCAAAAATAAAATATATATATATAATAAAAAAATGAAATCTGAAGTTTTGTTTAAAATTTTGAACATAGTTTCATTTATGATCCAAGTCACTTTTAATTTGTAAAATATCATTATTTTAGTATGGTGCCAAAGAAGCAGGTGGGATTGAAAATGTACCTCCTGGCTGGAGTGACTGGCATGGACTAGTTGGTAACTCTGTGTACTACAACTATACAATCTCTAATAATGGTGTGCCCACATATTCCACCGACCTGTACCTTACTGATGTTCTTGTAAGTATGTTTTTTTTGAAAAAAAAATTCAATAAAAATCTCTCTATCTTTCATAAACATAAAACTTTAAAAAATTTATTTAACTATAATTCTATTTCTTGATGGTAACTTCGACTATTTAAATTTTAAACCATTCTAAATGAGGATACTGTAATCAGGATATGGGGTAAAATATTTTTGTCTTTGTCATGATGAAATCAGAGTTGTTTTTGGAAAAATGGAAGTGAAATAGAATGGATAAGGAAAAAATGGCATATTTTCCCTCCTTAACAATAATTTACTATTTAACTATACATATTTGTTCAAATATTGTTTATTTTTAGCGTGATTTAGGCGTCAGCTACATAGAGAACCAAACTGAATCGCAACCATTCCTGATGGTGCTAGCTCCACCGGCGCCACACCAACCATTTACCCCTGCGCCTCGACACAAAGACATTTATAAGAATGTCACTGTTATTAGACATCCTAACTTTAATATTCCGGCAAAGGTACGTAGTATACGTAAATGTGTTTATGAATCTCGGAATGATATCTTTAACTAATAATTAGCTGACTGGCATATATAGTGTTAAATTATATTTTAAAAGAAACTCTTAAGTTACTGTGTTTAATTATCACAATGACTGTCCAAGTCAAAACAGTTTTATAATTTAAAAATAAATTATTATAATAGTAAAATTGAGATAACTAAAGTAGTCTTCTATAACATATATGCTACACGTCAAATGAAAGATTAAACATGTTCTCTCTTTCTTTATCTTCTAAAGAAATGTAAATCACCTTCATTACATTGATCAACAACGTGTTGATATATAAAACGCAATATAAGTTTAACATGCCTAAATTGTGTTGTTTTAGGATAAACACTGGCTTTTATCCATGCCACCATCTCCTCTACCAGAGACAATATTCCCAGAATTGGATCGAGTATATCGTTCCCGTTGGGAGAGTTTATTGTCTGTGGACGAGATGGTCGCTGATATTGTTGAAACACTGGACAACCAGAATTTGTTGGATAACACATATCTCATTTATACGTCGGATAATGGATATCATATTGGTAAGATTCATTATTCGCCTAGACAACTTTATGGATAAGGTGGAATGTATGTTCAACTGGTTGATGTTACTGAGTAGTTGTATAATTACGTGGCCTTATCTGTGGCACCATAGCGACTAACAATCTTACGCTCCTATATTAATAAATAAATTCCTATATTAAATCCGATAGTTCTAATATTAATTGATTTAAATTAGTTTTTAATAATACAAAAGCTTTGTTTAATAATTAATTATCTATTACAGGTCAATTCTCACAAGTATACGACAAACGTCAGCCATACGAATCTGACATCAAAGTGCCTCTCATAATACGTGGTCCGACAATAGCTAAAAATGTCACAGACAACCAACCTGTACTAAACATAGATTTGGCTCCAACGATTATAGAGTTGGCGGGTCTCACGCCTCCTAAATCTATGGATGGGAAAGCAATACAGTTTAATTCGCCAAAAAATAGAGAAAGAAACATGCTTGTGGAGTATTATGGAGAAGGGAGGGATGGAACTGTGGATCCAGACTGTCCATGGGCGTATGATAGAGATCAATTGGCTGTAAGTGATTATACCTTGACTCAGAAACATGTTCAAATGTTTGTCCAGTTGATTTAATTTTCAATCTGCTTGGTAGGTTTTAATTATGTCGAAAGATTCGCTAAGTTGAGGTGATTTTTGTCAAAGTTTATTCATAATATGACTTCTTATGACTGTTTTTGCCCAAATAAAATAATTTTATATTATCTATAAAGCAGAATCATCTCGTTCTTCTAGACGTTTCAGTATATGTATGTCCATAACACTGTATAGGTCTTCTAACATAAGTATAATTTAAAATATTATTTCAGCAATGTTACCCTCTGTATGATTGCAAGTGTCAAGACTCGAGAAACAACACGTACGGATGTCTGCGACATATCTCAAAGCGTGTCAATATGAAATACTGTGCATTTGCTGATGAACAGGTAAATCAGAATAATTTTATGTTGTATATTTTTTTTAAATAATATAACGACTGTGTGAGAAAAATCGAGTCTTAGGGATGGAAACTTAACAATAAAAGTCGGTGTAACATGAGAATGGCGCCAAAACTATCAAGCCACAGATTAGGAAGAAACAATATTAGGGAGCGTTCAAGTATTACGTAACGCGTTTTGGGAGGGGGGGGTCCTTTTGTAAAACGTTACGATGCGGGGCGGGGATTGAATTACGCGTTATTATTAATATTATTTTCGACTTACACCACATAATAGTAACTAAAGAGACACAAGGTGGTCACGAAACGTTTTACTTTACTTGATTACAGTACTGTACTAGGGTACTGAAAAACGTTACGGCGAGATACATGGGGGTGGGTCAATAATCTCCAAAAATTGCGTTACGTAATACTTGAACGCTCCCTTAACTCTTTGGAGGTACAAATTTCGTGATGAAACATTATTACATTTCTTTAAAGAATAGTTATAACAAAATTATTTCTATATATCCTGGTTAAAGTGCGTCATTATATAATCAATTTGACTCCAATATTAGATACAAAATGTTTCATGACAAGTAAGATTAAAATTCAAATAATCGTAGATTGTACAATTTATTACTTATAGTAATTAGTATTCGCAGAATCTTTATATTATTTATAATTGTATTAATGCATGCGTAATTTTATTTCCAGAATTTCAAAGAAATGTATAACCTAAATACAGATCCCTACGAACTTAGGAACATCATCGACGATGTGCTGCCCTCTATCCGCCATTGGTACAAACTCACCCTTTCACAGATGCTTACATGTAAAGGCGCAGATAATTGCGATAACCCTCTAGAAAATCCCAAACTTTTCTCAATATTTTAACTTAGTTTAAAATCGACATTTTAGAACTACTTTTTCGTAACTTTAAGTCCATAGACATCCTCGAAGTAATCTAATATATTAATATTATTTTTTGTTTGTCACTTAAGACAATACACAAACATACTGCTACATACCATAAACAATTTGTAAATTAAAAAGTTATAATTTTATTCTTTTAAATATATTATATTCACACTGTAAAATGAATTTTCTCTCACTTTTGATGTACTCGTGTAGATTTTAGTTGAAGCAATAAAAATAGATAGAAATTGCTCATTTTTTATTTAACCTCTTTGATATTATTATAAAAGATATAGGGCTATACCTCACCGAGATGCCATGGCGACGTGGCTAGTGACGTCGCCAACTAGTTCTTAAGGCTTGTATTCACTTTGATTAGTTGGTTGCGTAGTAAAGTGGTTAGAAGCGTGTTCTATTTTTTTGCGAGTAGTGACGTCGCGTGCGCCCTTCCTTGCCCCTCACCCGCTGCGTGCCTGCCAAAACAGGCAGCAGGACTCTTCGGTCAACCTGAGAGCAAAGTAATATTCCGTCGTATCTTCAGCAGCCAATTCCTTATAGAGTTGGAAGCTTGCGCCATGAATGGGTCTTCTATTAATCCATTTTCGAACCCATACTTTTCTTGGTCTTGCTCAGCTTCCAAAAATAAAATATTTTATTTTATTTTTGATTACTTTGTATCGAGACAGAACTGAATGCATTGGCGACGCAGGGACGCAAGGGTTGGTTGTTATAATACTATAAAATATAATATTTAAGTGACAATTGCGTCTAAGTACGTCTCGCCGGAAATCGAACTCAGATGTAGTCTGTAATGGTCTGCATACTTGATGTGCTGCAACACTGTGCGCGACAGCCACAACATTGCAACACAAGCTAGCAGCCTACCGTGTAGAAGCTATGCAATATATGGACTCTATTAAGGAGGGGAGAAAAAAGGGGGGGGGGGGAGAAAAGGGCGGGGGAAAAGGGGCCGGGGTGTGCGGCCATATTGCCAAACAATAGGCGACACAATATTGCAGTAATGTCCCGGCCACATAGCCAAACATGTTTTGTATAGCCACATATGGCCGATGTTGCCCCGATAGGTGGCCGGACGATCGCTCGGCTATCGAATTCAACTGCAATATTGCACGGCCAGTTCTCTTGTTGTTTCAGTCACTCTCGCTGTTATGGCATAGTGTATCCTTTTCTACGCGACATGACGTTTGCTTTGAGTGAAGTGTGCCTGTTGCTTTATTCTGTGTTTTGCGATCAGCTGTATTTGACGTTAGATTACTACTTAAAAATGACTACTTTTGATATTCTAGTTCTTGAATAATTTATTATCAAGACTTATTTCTAGACTCAAATTGTCTACAGTTTCACGCCTATTTAAGTAAAGGTCGAATCCACAATCTCTTCTTTTTCTGTTTCTTTTTTAAAACAATATAAGCTGCTGCGACAAGTGTGATTTCGTCAGCCATTGTTGCCCGTCAGCTGCATTTGTTTTTGTAGCCCGGGGTTTAGGAGTGCTGCCATCAATGCACAAACATGCCCGTAACGCGCCATACAAAAAGTCGTCGTAGAATACGAAACCGTAGTTATTGGATACGCAGAACACATTGCAAATATCCCCTCACCACGGAGCAGGTCGGTAATCAACAACCATTGAACTATACATTTGTTGGTGATGAAGCATATGGGCATGCTGGAAAATATTTGGACTTAGACAAAAGTTTTCACATTATAGGAAGCCCAGCCATAGATTGAATTCGGCCAATCAGCTGCATTAACAAATATTTTTGTATCAGGAGGGGGGGGGGGGGGGGGAAAAAAAATTTTCTCCCCGAAGAAAGGGGGGAGGGGGGGGAAAAGGGGGGGAGTAATATTAGTTCTTGAATAATTTATTATCTAGAATCAAATTGTCTACCGTTTCAGCCTATTTTTAAAACTTGTAAGGTCGAATAAATCTCTTCAAGGAAAAAAAAAAAAGAGCAGAAAAAAAAACGGCCGGTGGGAAGAGGGCGAAAAGCCAAAAAAAAGAAAGTAGAAATTTTTCTGTGTCTTTTTTTTAAGACAATATTAATGCTGCCAAAATACGAGACCAAATAAAAATGGATATGTGTGATTTCGTCAGCCATTGTTGCCCAAGGTTTTTTGTTAATGCCCGATTTGGGGGCCCTCACAGTCGAGGCTAGATGCTGTGACCTAGTGTAAAGGTGGCATAAGTTTGAAACCTTCTATTAAAGAAATAGATAGCACTATAAAGTCTATGTTAGAGTAAGTACGGGCGGCGCGAGCATCTAAAGTTTGCAGGCCCACCTTGCCTCGCGTTCTATTTCTTCTATTTAATGCTTGTATAGGATAGTTAAGTAGAGATATGATAAGTAGATGAGTCAAAGTTAAAAAAGGAAGGATTCCGATATTATAACTAAGCCTATATCTTGGCAACCATATATCAAAAGTGTAGTTTAAACTCAATTAATAAATATATAAAGTGTTTTACCTGGCCATCAGATGGCATTTTTAAATATTCATTTGTAAACGTAGGCCTGTCTTGCATATTTTGTGCAGGGCATTTGACTTGTTTCCTATGATCTGCTTGTGGAAAAACTTTGGAAAAACAGTGACACAGGATACCATCAATATTCTTAAGGTACAAAACATGGTCAAAGTTCGTTTAGACGCGCCATCAAAAAAGTCGTAACGTAGAAGACGATAACCTTAACAATAGTTATGTGGTGATACACACCACCCAAAAATTAACTTTTTTTTTTTTTTGGGGGTTAAGAAACACATTAAATATCCCGCATCCCATCACCACGACAGGTCGGTAATCAACAAGCCATTTGAACTATACATCGTTGTTGGTGATGAAGCATATGGCATGCTGGAAAATAGGTTTGGACGTTGTTTTCTCAACAAAAAGTTTTCACATTATTCAGCAAACTTTTACACGAGCAGCCTATGGGCCAGTTTTAAGCGACAAACATACAACTCGCTTCGGGCCAGACGTTGCATACTCAATTTGCACCCTAGGCGGAGTCTGTCGCCTTAAAGCCGCTTCGGCGTACTAGCAAACAAATGGAGAGAATATTACACTATCGCCCATTAAACACTTCTGTTCATTTCTCAGAAGACATTGTGAAATCTTGTTGCATTTTGCACAACATTATCCGCAAAAGGGATGGTTTCAATTTTCTTCGCACTTTGAAAATAGTGGGACTCGAAAATGTACAAAATACAGGCTGGCCAGTAACACGAACGTCTACTGCAAGAGATACGTTAAAAGATTATTTTATGAATGAAGGAGCAATACCGTGGTAAGAAAATAGAATATAAATATATGGTTTTATATTATTTTATTAAACTTATCTTCAATGTTCTTTTCTTTGGCAGTTTTATTCGAAAAATTTCCCACAAACAATTCGCAGATTTCTTCCCAGGCCTTCACTTTTCTCCTCTATTACTAAAACTATCACTTTTTGAATCCCAAATCGCAGGACGGGATTGTATTTATCTACCTATATGAACCACAGACTACGTGCGTGCGTTACCGTCGACTTCAGGTTAACTGAGGCAAGGGAGAGAGGGGCACGGAATCGCGCGAGTGGCGTGTGGCGGCTTTTTGTGTCGGCGTTTAGTGGCCGGTGCGAGCCACAAGAAGCAAGCTGCGACGATTTGTAGCGTGTGGCCGCCACCGGCGCCAACCGTGTGCGGCGAGTCCATATAAAATGTATGAAAATTACAGGAAATATGCCAGTGGCGGCGTTTTGTGGTTGTGGCCGGTGGCCCGTGTGCGGTGACCCTTAGACATTCTTAATTAACAATAAGATTTAACGGATTTAGGAAAAAACTAATATTACGAAATGTACAAGTTTATTTCAAAAATATTCACAAATACAACATTTTCATAAATATTAAAACGCTAAACAATATCAAAAAATGTCACAATTCATGTCACGACAGTTTTGCATTCCACATTAAAATTTTGAATCTGAAACAAAAAAACGGTATGAATTTATTTGCAGATTCATAGAAGCTTGCTTCAATTGCCTAGTACTAGATATTGAATAACTATTATTATTAAAAATAAAGTCACTCGCTAGATGGCGCTGTATTAATTAATTTTTTTTATAGAACAGGGGGCCAACGGGCAGGAGGCTCATCTGATGTTAAGTGATACCGCCGGCCTTGGACACTCTCAATGCCAGAGGGCTCGCGAGTGCGTTGCCGGCCTTTTAAGAATTGGCACGCTCTTGAAGGACGCTTAGTCGAATTGGTTCGGAAATACTTCAGTGGGCAGCTGGTTCCACAAAGTGGTGGTGCGCGGCAACTGCATTGAAAAACGCTCAGTTGTGGAACGGCGGACGTCGAGGTGATACGGGTGGAATTTCGTATTCTGCCTCGACGTCCGATGAAACTCAGGTGCAGGTATTAATCCGAACAACTCCTCTGAACACTCTCCATAATAAATGCGGTAGAAGATGCAGAGTGACCCCACATCTCTACGTAAGGCCTAACGTAGATTAACATATTTTGTAAAAATAGTTCTGCCATACAATATATATAAATGTCAAAATTATCTTAAAGACCAAAAAAGTCTTACAGCGGTATTTTTATTACATCTTACAGAATTTAGTTAAAGATAATTTCGTTTGAATCCTGAATCGATCAATTTTAGGGACAGGAAATCTTATTTTTTTTATATATAGTTACCTGTTAAATACACATTCAGGTTATGGCGGGCTGGTGTCGACACTGTATGCTAATGTAATCCGTCAGTTTGCTCTGATTCTGCAAATCTTCCTTGTATATCAGGGGGCACGGGAAGTATTTCTGAAATGACGTCATCAAAGCATTTATTGTCTGGTTATTGAAATATTCAAGCTTAAAACTTAATTTGGTTTGTATTACAACACCGTTGATTTGATTAAGATAAAAAGCATTAAACACAAACACAAGTAATTTCTTCATACTTAGGACTACCGTCTTAAGCTACGGTTTCCTAGAAAAGCGGTGCCGTTATCTAACGGCCGTAATGTGACGTTGGGTGACGTCACCCATACGTTGTCTATAAATACCATCGGAGTAGGTTTTCTAGAGAACGTTGAGTGTCACCGTAACGTCAAATTGCGGTGCTGTCATTTGCATGACGGCCGTCATAGTGGTGATAAACAGTAGTTCAACGTTTTTCGCGTGTAGCGGTGCGCTTATTTAATTAATACAATGACTTAAGCTAGCGAAAATGATGAACAATTAATTGATTTTGTTAAAAATCATGAAGCTTTGTACAATATCAAATCCAAAGAGTACAGACAAGCTCAGATGAAGCAAAATTTGTGGAACGAAATTGGAATAACACTTCAAAAATACGTTTGCACTACTTGCCGTTAGTTAACGGCACCGCTTTTTTACGAATCCGTAGCTTTATACGTCACAATGTTATGAAATTACCTGCACAGCCTTGATGCCGCCAGTAATGTCGACGGTTGGAATCACTTGCTTTGGTTTCAAAAACTTAACAAAGCGAATCATTTCGGAAAAACTGGAATGTTCACTGTATGGTATACCTGAAAAATATTGCACTTTTTCAATAAATTGAAATTAGAGTAAAATTTTTTATTAAGGTGGCCAAAAGTCGTGGATCAAACGTAAATAGGGGACAACAAAGTCATCAGCGGCAAAAAAATTTTCTACGGGAGGTCGCTAAGGTCAGCAGAGTTATGATTTATTTTGGTTTTATATTAAAATTGACTTTTTTTTACTAATTCTTCTTAAAATTCGAAATATCTAATCCTGTATTTTCTCATAATATCCACTAGATTGGTACTGATGAGTTCTTGGTTAGGGACATACTATTTATAGTTGTTTTTGAGTGTATTCAAGATAATATTAAGTGATACGATATAACATGGTTTTTCAAGTCATAAATTTTTTCTTTACTTTGGACCCCACTGGTTAAAAAAATTCACCCGCCCGAAAAGTCCCCCGAAAAGTGTCCCTGTACTACAAGTTTTGGCGCATTTAAGGGGATTCTGATGAAAGGTATTACACGTGGCCATGAGTCGCTCTTATATCTTTCTAGGAAGAATTACAAACAACGATTGTGAAATAATAATTGTATTAAAAACAATTATTTCTCAATGGTTGTTTGTGGGAAACAAAAAATTTTACAATAAAATATGCTCACAAAGTCCTGACTCTGACCATAATACTTAATCTGTACCGTCTAAACAAATTCCTAAGTATCTCCAGCCATCTGTCCAATTGCTTTGAATCTAGTGGTCGATTGCACACAGTACTGGTCACAGGTAGGTAAATAATCTATCATAAGTCCGAATCGTTGTTGTTTTTCTCCTAGAAAGATATTAGAGCGACTTATGGCCATGTGTTATTCAGAATCCATATTAAATGCGCCAAAACTTGTAATATAGGTCACTTTTCGGTAGAGTAATTTTTTTCAAGTGGGGTCGGAAATAACAAAGTTTTGATTTGAAAAAAATTATATGTATAACTTAAATTCTTCAATACACTCAATAAACAACTATATAGTATGTCTAACGCAAGAACTCATCAGTACCAATCTAGTGGATATATAAAAGGATAAGGATGTAGATTTTTTGTTTTAAACTATAAAAAAAGTCAATTTTCATATAAAACCAAAATAAATCATAACTCTGAGGGGTTGACCTTAGAGACCTCCCGTAGAACAATTTTTGCCGCTGAAGACCTCATCTATCCCCTTTTGCGTTTGATACTGCTTTTTGGCCACCCTGAATTATGTACAACAAAAAACAACAAGGAGGCGGGGGTGGTAATTTAACACATTAAAATATTTTTCCTATTATTATTAGGGATTATATTGTTTTGCCTTGATTTTGGACAAAAATAGCTGATGCTGTAAGAAATTCAGAAGTTGACGCATACATGTTGCTAGGTGAATTACAGCACCACATTTATGCCCAAGCCTAGTCGCGTGACCATAGCGAATGAATGTCTTAAGGCCCTATCCAGCATGAATTGCTGTGTCAGTGTCTAGGGTCGAGCTGCGGCGCGCAGTGGAGAGTGAAAAGGAGCCCGTAATAACTATAAAACATTAAATTAGTTTTTTAAATATTTTCTGAAATGAATTACTTGGCTTGCGATAAAATATATCGTGTAAATTTCACACTCACTCAAACTACTCAACTCCACCATATATTTTTTTCCATTCGCCCCACTTCAAAAAACGATGACGAAAAATGGAAAGAGACAATATACTTTTTTGGAGTTTGGTGACCAGATAGGTCCTTGGTCCATTAAGACAAGCGACTTCGCCTGACTGTATAGAACCCTTGAGGAGTCAATTCATAACCATTATTGATCATAATCAATTATTATGTACAAAATTTAATATTATTTTTAACAAAATAAAAATTTAAGCCACAAGGATTGGTCAAAAACCTAAAATTAATTACCATGTATCGTAACAGAGTCCTTTTCGACGCAAGAGTTCCTTCCATTTTCCCAACCGCTTGGCTTAAACGCGACTATTTCTGTGAACGCCCCTTGCAAGCTGTCCAAATAGCTCCGTAGCTTCTGAAAATGTATCTGGGATTATAAATCGTATATAACTTATATTATAATCGTGGATTGGTCTAATGTTTGGCTTTTAAATGGGTAGCTTATATAAAAAAATACTATAAAAATAAATATGCGACAATATCAGATTATTATTTATATTATATTGCAACTGATTGAATGCATCTATTCCAAAACATCCGACATGAAACATTAGGATACAACGCAGCGATGTTCAAATTATATTTAAAGTTACGAGTTCAGGATTTTTAAAGATAAATTAAAATAAATTTATAGGGGTATCTCTTTGATATATACTTATAAAGTCCCTTAAGGCAAAGCAATAAAAATTGAGATTCCCAACATTTTAGTCATAATAAAATATTGTTTATATATGTAACTGTTATTTTATTAGTTGTAACTACCTTCTAAGTACTTAGTATATTGAGAGCACAGATTATAATTATGGATATAATAGATATAAAATAATCATTAAAAAATATACCTCATGCGTAAGATCTCTCATAGGAACTACATGAAGTTGGCACGATTGCGGTGGAGCGTGGCTAAAGCTGCGCCCCTCCACCGCTTGGAGGACTCGGTCCTTCTCTGGACAAGCCCATACAGTACAACCCACCCGACGCGCCATTCCCAGAAAGAATTTCTCCTTACCTACATTTACATAAACAGAATTACATAAAAAAATCTATTTGCACCGTTTTGTTACGTTATGTCTCTTTTTGTCATACACCATACACACTATGATAGAAATAGACGAAAGAGTACTTTAGTTAAATGAAAGCAGACTGATTAAGTTTCTTACGTATAACGAGGACTTCAGGTCTATATTCTAATTCTTAATTCGAGTCACGATCTCGTCTAGAGCGGTTGTGAAATATGTCAACTTTCATACAGAAAGAAATATTTGACATATCTTGAAAGATTAGATTTAGGTTTAAAGACTTTATTTCTCAAATGGACTAAAAATGTCACTTACATGAGAATAATACTTTTGATTAACATAACATTGTAGTCGTTCTTAAAATAATCACAATAAAACATAGCCGGACATGCAATAAACTTGAAACTTACGTTTAAAATTAACTTTATGATTGCAATTTTAATAATCACCTTGATAAGTAAAGTTGCTTTTTAAAAACGAAGTTTTTATTCTTTAATAAAATAAAAGTAACCTCAGTAAAGGTAAAAATACTATCTACGATGTTTTATGAAGAGAACTGTTATACTTATTGACTCATATCAGCGCAAATTCTTTCGCGTTCTGAATGAAGCTCTTTTGTCAAAAACAATTTTTATCGGTAAAGAGTTATTCAATTCTATATAAATTCCGTAAAACACTGATAATATTTATGGACTTAAAGAGATAAGATACAAGTCAGATGGTAAATAATTTCAATAAAAACTTGAGTAATTGTTAAGTCCAGTATTTGGCACATTTTGGAAAGTTAATACCTAGAAGGGAGATCTATGGATAAAACTAGCATACCAATCGTATAAGTCCCGCAAACGATAAGGACAGACGAGAACTTCTTCTTGGCCGTTTCCAGGGCAGCCTTCTTCTGTCGAAGGTGGTATAACGCCATTTCCAAACTTTCATCTTGTGTAGGGAAATCATATCTCGGGTTGCAGTATCTGCAATTACCCATTTTAGTGGTGTTTTAGTACTTGGTGGTGATGTAGAACAAGTTTATTTATATTAGTATTTGCAAATATTGCGAAGTATTATAAAGCAAATGTATTTTGCGCCTTTTCGAGCAAGAAATTGTATTTTTCTGACAATAATCATATTTAAATTTAACCAAAAAAGAGTTCAAAGTCCACATAATCGAGGCCATATTATCGTTGGCCGTTCGATTTAATTAGCCTGATTTTTGCCTGTATCCAAAATTGTTAAAAGGTCTTAATAATAAATTCCTGCTTATTTAAGTTATATTATTATGTGTATGTGGTTCCCCTTGCAAACCTAATGTTCTATGGGAAAAAATACAACATAAGAAGATAAAAATAAAATATTTTTATTATGGAACATAAGATACCTGTATCACTTATTCCACGTCATTAAATTTGAATTTGTAGGCATCCCTACTCATCGGCAAAGAAGACAGAGGGTGTAGGCCGAGAGAAAAAGCCGGCGTAAAAAACTCTCGGTACTCTTTTAAAATAGCAAATCATCAAGCAACACTAATGTTATATTTTTTTAATATACTTAATTTATATTTTTTTTTGTTTTAATATGAACGCAATTAAATATTCAAAGGATCTCAAGAGTTAGAAACGGCATTATTATTTTATAAGGGTTGTCCCGGCTTGTATTGGCTGAACACTGTGATAACGTAGCATTCTTATAATCACAGAAAATTTTAAATCGATCAAGTAGTTTTTAAGTTTATTCGACACAAACATACAAATCTTTCTTCCTTCTAATAAGTATAGATAAACTTACGTTGTATCCAGATATACAGTATGGATATCTTTATTCCAGAAAACAGGATAGGATTCCATTATCGGTGAAGCCCTAAAGTCGCCAGTGTGTAGCATGCTTTTGCCACTAGGCAGTGTGAAGATTAACATTATTGCACCAGGGCAACTGAAAAGTAGAGTATTATATAACAGACATCTCGTACTGTTATTACGTATTCACATAAGACTGATCTTTTTGCATTCCCATCAATAGCGTTTTAATGTTAAATAAATCATTCAATGTTGCTTTTGCGAATTCGATATTATGTTCTCTTTTAAAATTTTGGACTCCCACACAAAACTGCGATGCGATGCGAATTTCTGCGATACGATTTAGTGCGGCAAACCGTTTGGTAGGGCGACCATTCCTTCGTAGTCAGCCGTACTGGACGTGTTTTTAGGAAGCGTAAGATGGATCGCAAAAGATTATTGCACTGCTGTTATTGTTATATAGATATAAAAGAAAAAGAAGATTCTGGGTTCATCCATTTATTACGATTATAAACTCTGATGCAAACTTTCACAGACGCTCTTCCACGCATCTTGCTCAATAAATGTATTTTTATAATGTTCATCACTTGTGTCCCAAAAGACGGGACGCTCCTCAATTAAAAATATTAAAAAATCCATATCATATTCCGCAATTTTTCATAAACAAAAAAGGCGGTGGAGGCGCCGCGCGTCTTTCTCTAAAGCTGTCTCAGAGCGGACTAAAATGGCGTCACCAAGTATGACGTAATATCGCAAGAATGTGCGATGCGAAGCAGATCGGAACTTCTTGCGGTGCGTTCGTGCGAATTCGCAGATATTTGCGATGCGATGCGAATTCGCAGTTTTGTGTGGGAGCCCTAAAAATGAATCGCGTCAGGTTTTATTAAGCTTTGTTAAGAGTGTAAAATGTTTTAATTCATTAACTTTATAATTGCTTGTGATAATTCCGTACTAATAGCAAAATTGTTTTTTTCAAATCCTCGTGAATTTTAATAGTCTATTGTTTGATGTGTATACTGGTGTCCCAAAAATCAAGGGCAAGGCAAATTTATAATTGGCTAGCTCCAAATGAATAAAAATAATGCTTATTGTATCCAATTTTATATGGATTTTTTTTGTATAAAATTCATGGAGATTTTTATTAATTTGTGTTCATTTAATCTCACTTGATGTCGGCTTGACGTAATTTTATTCGATATATGTGATAAATGAATAAAGCTCTAGACCGATGGGAAAATGGGGTAACCATTGGGGAAAACAAAGTAAGTACATTTGTAATCTCATGCCGACGATTGGCGAACTTAAGCCCTAGAAGTAGAAGGCGAATTCAACTAGCTCGGATCTTTATTGAGCAGGGAAGGCTATGAAAAGAAAATTCGGTGAAAAATACAAATGACCCGGGACGCCATGACAAAACCACGGCGAATATGGAAAGATCACAATATATGGGTTCCCCATTTTCTTATACGGCGCTGAAACTTGGACTGTGCGAGCATCCGAAAGAAAGAGGATAGATTTCGAAATGTGGTGATGGAGGCGGAGGCTCAGGATTCCCTGTACAGCGAAACGGACAGAATTTGTCAATTCTGGCACAACTACAAGTTACAACCCGTCTTTCTTCAGTGTGTTACACAAAGGATCTTGACCTTCTTTGGGAAAATAGTACGCAGAGGTCCCGATAACTTAAAAATTGTGGTGAGTGAAAGGCACGAGACCCCGACTAGCTGAAAGAGTAGGTCCTTACAAGACTTATATTACACATGTGCTTACACATGTGCGAGGACAGGAATGCAGGAAGCTATGCAACATCAACATGACCTTCAGTAAAGAAGAACGCGTATAAAGGGTAAGTATATGTAAAAAAATAAGTTTCCTTATACGAGGCTAGTGCAGAATGGAGCAAAATGGAGAAGGGCTACGTCCAGAAATGGATTAAATAAAGACGCTGATGATGATTCATGTTGTTCCAGTCTGGCTTTGACCGCCATGATATTGTTCTAAGTTTCTTGGTCAAATGGAAAAGTTTCTCAAGTGATCTTTGAGTGGGGAAAACCCTGATAATGATAACTCTATATTAAACGACTTTGATATTTTCCGGGAACTTAACTTACTTATATTTTTAATAATATGAAAACCACTAAAATAAAATAAAATTTGTTAAAAGTTATCTCTAGAAGTACAAGTAGCAGAACATGTTTAATTGACAACATTCAATAAATAAATAATAGTGTATGCATTGTTTATGTATTTTTTTCTTTGCTCGAGAAAAAAAATTACAAAAAAAAATTGAAAATTAAAAAATTCGTTCTTAACTTCGAATTTTAATTTCTCTTATTCGGTGTTTACCAAATGACGAATGAAAAATCTTTATACATATCTTGAAATGTTGTCAATTATGATTAATTCGTCCGAGGAAAATACAGTAACTTATTTAAGTATTGAGTAATAACTCACTGGTTCGCATCAATGGCTGTAACTTCGACCCCATCAATTTTAATTGGCTCATCAACGTTCATTATATGAATACATTTCACGGGAACTCCTAATCGTGATATGCATAAATCCGCTAGAATTTAATCATTATTTTCATTACTTATACTAATTAATACTATTTAAGGTAAATGCTGGAAAAACATCTATTTAGAAAATTATTTCGTTTTTATGAATTCAAAATGGAGTTCTACGGGTAAGTAGCTGAATTGATAACGATGAATTTTGTTACAGATAGCACCTACCCGCAGGTATAGGCTACTTTTCCCGCGAAAAAAATTAGGGGGTGGTTTTTAATAATACTTTTCTAAATTTCGCAGTTCATAATAATCAAACCTGTACTACACAAGCCAGTTTTATTTAAATTCAAAATAAATAAACTTGGGAGTAATTTTACATTCTACTAATGGTAATATTAAATGCGAGGCGAGTACCGCAGACGGAAACTAAAAATGCAATAATTATTATTTTTTTTACTTATATGTCCTTCAATATTGACATTGAACAGACATTCAAAGGAAAAATGTTTCTTACTAATTATAAGTTGTATAATAATTATTAAGTTGAGGCCATCAAAATTATGGATTTTTTTTCATACACTCCACATTGGCCTAGCGCAAATTTACGAACTTTGTTTCACCTCAATTTTTTTACTTAGCCTACGACAAAGCTTACCCTCGAAAAAGCTTTCCTCACACTTTAAGGAATATATACACGAATTGGTCCAGCTGTGTTCGATTTGCGCTTAGCAACATGTTTTGCTATTCAAATTCGGCCACGGAGCGCTCCTAAAGTTTTCCATAAAAAAACATATTTTTTCAATACTGTACGAAGGGTTTTATTATTATTTAAAATTAAATAAACTTACCTGTAATTTTCGAACAAAACAGCATTTTGTTAAAGCTTTTTTTTAGCCCCGAATAGTGATCAGAATGAAAATGAGTTAAGAAATAATGTTTCACATTCGCGATCTCGCCGTAACAAAATGCGTCGACTGCAAAATGTGTCCCTGAAAATAACATTACTAAAAATAAGGTCATATATCCTATTAATTTATATCTATTGCGCTAAAACCGCAAATTTTAATGCCGTTTTATTATACAATATAGCGTAAATTGTATAATAAAATTATATTTGTAATATTATATTTGACTGTATTACTGAAAGTATCACCGTTCTCAATTTTTTTTTAATTTCTCATAGTCTTCGTGTTAATTTAACTAGTATTGGAGTCTTAGGCCAAACTATTTTAAAAACTAAAATATTTTTTCTATATTGCGAGTTCTCAAGATAAAGACTAACTTTACATACGTTTTTAATACAGGGCAAAGACTGAGTCAAAGCTAAAAAGCGTTAAAGAGGGTAGTTTCATAAGCCCCGTAACAATCCAAATGTCTTGTTTCCACCAATTCGAAAGCATTGTTTCACGGGGAATTGAACCTATCTATATGCGTTAACTACTAAGCTACAGAAGCGGAGCAGTTCTTAAATATATAAGATTAATGTGTATCAACTAAAATATTTCACCTGCTACAATTTTATAGTGTGGTATAACTTTGGTGACAGTTGATGTTTTATTTGATCTTGACTTTGTTGGTAAATTGAACTGTAAAGACTCAACAACTTTTCTCGGTGAATAGGACCCAACTCTCTCATTCTTTAATTTAGGCGATTGGAGATCTTCTCTTGTCTCCATTCGAGGAGACATGGACCTATGTGAAAGTTTCCTCGGTGTCTTGACAATTTCATTCTTCTTTTTACTCGGTTGGGCAACATCTTGTCTCGTCGCAGTGATACACAAATTCTTACTCATGTCATGCGACGCATTATGTGCAATTTTCTGCCTTGTTAAATTTGCACCATTCTTTTGATCTGACGCCACATCCGAGACTTTTGACCGACAACTAAAATATGAATTGATACACTGTTGTTTTAGATTATTCCCATTCCTCAGTCCATAAGATTTAAGAGAGTTCCTCGTAGCAGCTACAAGTTTATTTCTCTCTTTAATTTTCTCTTTAATCAATTTATAATTTGTTGGCTGAACTATGACATCTGACAGCTTTTTTCTATCACTTGTGTTCAAAATAAGAATTTTATTTTCTTCTATGGCTGGAGGTGACAATTTTGCTTTTTTCTTTTCTATGTTGTCAGAAACTGCTGATCTTTTTAATTTTTTTGATTTGTCTGTGGCTATCTCTTTTTCACATTTAAAAACTTCAATAATGTCTTTTGTAGTCATTTTAAAATTATTATTATTGATATTCTTAAGTTTACTATAAGCAGTTGTGTGTAAATTATTTGTTATATCATATAATGTGTCATCACAACTAAATTCTGTAGTTGAATCTTTAGTACAGTTTAAATCTTCTATAGTAGAAAAACTAAGATTTTGTTTATTTGCTATTCTTTGAGTTGTTATATTGCATTTAAGTATCACATTTTCTTTGTCCTGCAAACCATAACATGAAACAAGTGTTACTACATCTTAACAAGCTACAATATAAACCAAAATAGTGTTATAAGGAAGAAATGTACAGTAAGCTCAGTGGTTAGACTAAATTAATTGTGTAGATGTGGCAGTTTTGTTTTGCTATAAGTAACAGAATAAGAAAAAAATATCAGACAACTTGAATAGGAAAGCTTAATATAGTAAAATGATGGAGTAATCAAAGACACCATATAAAATATAATAATACCTTCTTTCGGTTTTCTTTATGCTTGGTTCCAACATTAAATCTTTTCAGCGATAATGAGGTGCGACTAAGTGTAGAATTCTGAAATATATTATTTCTGGCTGAAAAAATTTTTTTTTAGCAATGTCTATGTATGTTTGTGTAATTACAACACAAACATACATACATAGACAAGTAAATTTTGTCTTGAACGTAAACTGCCAAACTAAACTCTTTAAGGTGTGGTAAAAGCCTTGGTGATGATAAGCATTATACTATTGAACAAATTTGCAGATTTAATTTTATATTTTGTTTTATTTAATACTATAGTAGAAGGAATTGAGACGTATGTATACAAACCTGAGTAAGATTTAAATTACAAGATTTCTTTATCGAACGGGGATTTAGAAGCGATGGCAAATATTCACTAATATCACTGCCATTCATCTTTTTACTGTTGTATACATTTCATACAATACATATTTCACTTAAAATTTTGTTGTGTTATCGTCATCCGACTATTACCTAGAAAAAATTCTATAAATCTCATTAAGTACTCCTAAGTAATGACTTGACTTTGAAAATTGAGCATAAGTAATTTAAAAAATATAATTGGTTCTTATTTTTAAATTTTATATCAAAGTTATTATTGGATACAATATTTCTTTATTTTCTATTAATAACTATTTTTCTTCGCAATATTTATATAAATTTTTTATTATAACAAAATAATTACAAATTTCCGCCAATATCCACTTTGCATCTGTCACTGTCATTCTTCCACTAAGACTTAAGAGTAGACTGTAGAGTTATCAGTCAAGGTTTAAGTAGTAAGCTGTGATTTTAAAGCTTACCAAACTTGTATGGGAATAATGAAGGTGTCGCTTTGTCACATGACTATTTTCATACATATTTGTTTGACGTTAGTGGGTCACGCCTGTCGAAAAGTGAATTTGTCTCAAGTCCCTTACGAAAGCACGATATAAAACTTATTAGATTAAAAATTATTAGTTTCCATACTAGAAACCATTGTGTGCGATTTAGGTTAGCCTGCGACACATAATAATCGAGATTTTGCTATTTAGATGACCACTGACCAGCTCGAGTCATTTGATCATTACGCTGTCCTCCTTTTATTTGTGAATAATACAGTTTAATTTTAGCCATCAGCTGACTGGCACAGGCGTTAAGATCCTATTTTGACCAACATTACCTATTTTATATAACTTTATTATGAACATATTCTTTTTCAGTTTTTTTAAGGAATTTAATCCACTGACTGAATGAAACCGTATTCGTTCAAGAGGAAGAGTTCATTCGTTCGTTCTGAATGATTTATTCTAATTCATATTTCATTCCCTCAATCGTAACTCCGCCTCCAGCAATTTATTTCATCGCGTCTCGCAGATTCTTCATTCTCGTTTCAACGAGCGTGGGTATAGGTCGCTTAATTATCAAAGTTACAGTTTTAAACTTGAATCTAAAATGGAGTTTGTAGACAAGAAATACAAAATGGTCTCTTCAGAGAACTTCGATGATTTTCTGAAGACGATTGGTGAGTAATTTAAACACGTTCTTAAGGTATATTTTGTAATAATTGATCACAAATAGACGCCGGCCGGCTTTTACCCGTTATTGCACGCGATGTTTTTTTTTGGTTTTTATTTCGGAAGTAGTGCAAACAATTTATGTAAAATAGCAATCTTATGCTCAAATGTAAATTAGGAAGTCTTTTTTTAATCTATATATTATAGTAGTCTTTATATGAGTTACGTCTACTACCGAATGGCAACGTGCTTTCGAAGTTAAAGGGAGGTACCTGTTTTTCCTAATAATAAACGATACATTACTTTTAGTTTCGTAAAAAACAATAATATAATGTTTTTATATAATTTGACTAATAAGACTTAATTAAGTGGGTATACTTTATGGTGGTAGTATATAGGTAGGCTTTATATTCGTAAAAGATTTAAGAAGGTACGTTTCCCATTTCTGACCCGCTCGTACATAGTACAGTGAAATTATTAAATTTAATGATTCCAATTGTAATTTTACGATAATTAATTCCTGATTTGTAATATCTAGTAGGAATAAGTCAAATACGTATATTAATAAGATTAGATGTAAAAATGGATAAATTCGAATGTTAGGTAAATTGTAATTTATCATTCGATCAACAAAATACACATCGAATAAAGATTTTGTAAAATTGATATGCGTCTATTCGAAATTGGTTTCACGATGATATACTTGTAGGTATAATTACGTCTGCAGTCAATTAATATTAAGGAAAATGATAGGTAGTTAGCTTTACTTTACTGAAAGTCAGAGGCGTCGCAATATAATATGTTAAGTAAAAGCCTGCATTCTATATTTACCGCAAATTTTAACCTATTGCATTTTTAATTCTTAACTCAGTCTATCCAAAGACCAAACGATCTAGAATGTGCATTAATAATTATGTTGAATTCAGTTTAACTGCACAAATGTACACGTAGGTAGAAAAAGTACTGAAATTTTAATGTTCACTCGAAATTATGATATAAAACGTATAAGTACCTAGGTGCTATCAATTTAATCCCGAAAGTAAAAAAATAACTAAAATATTTCGCTTTTATTTGGATGAAGGTATAAATTCAAAAATCGGCACGAAACACGGTACTTTTCCCTATTCTAAACATATTTGTAATTTTAGATTACATCGCAGGTACAAAATACGCAGACTACGACGAAGGTAGAATTATATAAAATGTTACCTTTGAACAGTTACTGGACTTTGGCTGGACAGGATTATAAAAAGTATGAAATCGTTATCTTATAACCGTCTTACGCACTTATGATGGTAAATAATGTGCATTCATAAGAACTCGATAAAAACTTATACTGCGTCATTGTTTTAATGTCGATAGCAGCTCAAAGAATCTTTTATTTCTTAATGATGATGGCATTTCTGAGAATTGCAAGTCTTATCAGCTTTGATATTGCTCACCCAAAAGTTCTTTCTAATCATATCAACGAATAAACATTATATTTTCACATGTTCTCAATTCTGAGATAATAAATATGTGTTAATCCTAAATTTTAGTGCGTATGTTCGTAATGTCGTTCGTGTATTTGTATAAAATGTATTTAAAATATTATTTCGCTGGTTTTCCAGAACCATCGGTTTATACACCCTCAATAATAATGATAAAGCTCTTGATTCTTATAATTTAGATTATATGTAATAAGATCAATCATATGACTTTGATAAGAGCTAAATACCTCAGGAGATGACTCAGTAGATGCAAAACAACTGTGATGGAAACAAAATGTGATCTGTCTAGGAAATTCAATGCTGTTGTATTTCTAAAAGTTTGCATTGAATATACCGCAAGATACCTATATTATCGTTTTATATTAGTTCTGCATTTTAAATGCAACATTGAGATTGTTTTTGACAGTAACAGACAGGGCGAATTTTGATAAAAATTCAATATTTCTTAGTGACTGAATCGTTACCGTAAATCTTTTATACTTTATAAAGCTACGAAGATACTTTCTCCTATAATCTATACCCCTTATTGATAAAAAATATATCAGTGTAATATCTCTTTTGTCTCTTTTTGTTGAATTATGTTTACCATGCGATCAAAAGAGCGAGTACTTTAGTAAACAACAAATACCTACAGCAGCAGCGATACCCACCGATTTAGTTGTATAAGATAATTAATTAATTAATTTAATAAATTAATAGACCATTTGGCAATGACAATAGAATATTTCGGCCTCAATTTTAATCATAATAATTAAAGTATTTCTTACGTAATATTTTATATATACTATAAACCTTGAATTTGTTATTTTATAGGACGTTTAATCACAATAGCAAAAAATCTTTACGTAATGGAAAATTCAAGTTAGAAATTTAAGATTACAGAGTATTTAAATGAAGATATATTAGTTGTCCAGCTCCGCTTGCATATTGGGAAGGTACTGGGCACAGAGAGTCTATACATTCTTGATTGAAAACAAAATATAAATGAAACAAACATAGTATTAAACAAACAAAGCCCATTGGGGCAGATGCCACCTGCCGCTTGAGGGGACAGAACAAATCAAAACACACCTAACTCTTTTGTGAATGGCATATATACGCAACGAAAGACAGTAATAATAAAAAAATATCTATCTTTTAGTTTTAAATAAATGTCGTATTTATTAAATGCTTTTTCTTATTATTTTCGATAATGCGCTTGAAGTCAGTCGTAATCGTACGTTGTCCTTTAGAAAATCTGTTTGTACAAAAAGTAATATTAAGAGCAGTATGTATTAGCAGATAATAAAAATCGAAGGTTCTTTTCTTGATTTTATCGTACATTCAAAAACGAACAAAGTGTTAGACAGGTATGCAAATCATAATTTATTTTCTTAGAACACATTTGATAAACGGACCCTAAAAAACGATGGACGGATATCCATAGACGGTTTAAAGAGAAAAAACATCGCATATAAAATATAAATAGACTTTTTAGACGACAAAAAATAAGAGCTCGTAATTTTATTTCTAAATGTATTAAAATAAATTCACGGTTTGCCAATGCATCTGTATATCAATCAAAAATTTATAATCTGATTTGGAACACTTTGAATTTGGACTTCTGTCCCAAACTCAAATGTTCAAACTAGATATTAATATCAGCAAATCGTCTGATATCAATATAGTGTTGATTTACGATTGATAACTCAAGAATTGTCTCATATCTAAGTGCATCAAATCCTTAAAACCTGTTGATGTCATTATAACAAAGTCATTGAAGGATGATTTAATACAAAAACGCATGTTAAAAATAAGTATTAATATTACAAAATTAAGCATGGTAGTGACAACTTTCTGTTGTCACTACCATAACTTGCCCTAGATATTGTTTGTGGTTAGTGCTATAAATAACATTTTCTTGGGAAAGTGTCGTGAAAGTTATTTCTATACAAGTATAATTGAACAAAGATTGTAAAAGCACTATTTTTTTAACACAAATTTAAGACGTAATTATCGATTTTATGTTCAATTGTACCATACAATATTCTTCATATTAAACGGTCAATTCATCAGTCATCACTTGACAAGCGGGTGGAATAAAAGCTCAAAGCGGGTACCATTTAATTAGAATAGCATGAGAATATCCCGACGCACTGGTGCCCCATTGGTTCCCTTCACAATTGTCCGCAAATGGACGCCAATCAGCATCAATTCAGTCAATAAGACGGTTTGTTGAGAATGTAGGATGTATGTGTGTCCGGTCTACCTACGACTCTGACTCACTATGCAAGTGCAAAGGTCGATATAGGAATGCAAAGTTTTCTTTTCAATTCCAAATTCAAAAAAATTCTTGTTTAATTCTATTTATGGCGAAATGTCAGAGATTCTTAAAGAGGGTCATTCAATATTCGAACAAGAATTATGTTTGAAAGATTACGATTCTTATTCGAATTTGGATATTAATTGGCGGTTTATAAAGCGAATATTTTATTTAAAGAAATGTTTTAATTCAGTTCTAGCATTATCTAAGTATGATTGAAACACCGGACTTTCATCAAAAGTAAGAATGTTTTGTTGAAAGTCTAAAGTGTATATATTTAAATTAAATTCAATATTCATGTTACATTTCATCGAAGTTCAATGTCCACAATTCATTGTTACACTCGACCGTGGCCAATATGTATTTATAGATAACAATTTGTTGCTAATTGCAAATTGTTTATAGTTTACCCGTTAATATAACTATATGTCTCTTAATGATATCACCCAAAATATAGTTGTCACTAACTGCATCGTGTTATATTGGGACAAATTATTTTCAGGCCGCAAATATATTAAAAAAGGGTCAGCGGGTGAGGCTGAAAGCATGTCTCATTTAAATTATCATTTATAAAGGAATTATCATACATTCATTTAAAAAGATTACAACTGAAAATGAAGGTTTTCTTGTCTTCCGTTGGTAATAGAAAGGTTTAAAAAAAACAGTTCAACCCTTGGTTTGGCCTGAAATAGGTTTCATTCGAGAAAGTTTTTTTCATCTAGTAGGCCATCGATATTGTAGGCCTATTAAGACATGGCGGTTTTTTCACGATTTTCCTTTACCGTACGAGTGTTAAAGCAGGAAAAACCCATTGGTGCACGGGGTCCGAACCTACGACATCAGGGATGAGTCACTAAACCAGCACTGCTCATTGAAAGGTTTAGAATGAACCCAATTCCGAGTACTTACAAGCTTAAGCTTTTCATATTCAAAAATCATTTATTTATATTTATAGGTAACAAAATGTACACTTATGAACGTCAAAAATACTATCGCGCCATAATTTAACGTAGGTACCTAATGTGTGATCAATACACGGGTTATAGATTTTTCTTCGGCCTTGTAAATATCGACTAAAATATTTATATAAGATACAATTGATACAATGCATTGAAGAAGTTCAATTCACATATCCCGCATACGCATCAATCGTAATAAAACCCCCTAATAACCACCATTATTCAATTTGTTAAAAGCTTGTTTTATGAAACTGTCATATCAAGATATTCAAAGGCAGATTTATTATATAACAAAACTTCAATAGTAATGGACTTTCAATTGAAAAATTATACCAATTTATAGGTTATTGACCTTGAAGTGGCACCACGTTGGTCTGACCAATAGGAACGCGCCGCGCCTACATTTCAGCCAATCGGATGCCGCGATTTTATATTGATTCATCTGGTATGGGACACATCAATGAGGCTGTACAAACTACGTCACGGAATGTTTAGTATCCCAGCTTCAGATGCATAGTTTTTATATATATATATTTTTTTTAATTATGTTATTAATTATATATTTATATAAAATAATTTCAGTAAAGCATATTGCGATATTTTCGTGAAACTTTACAAGCATTGTACGTAATAAAATATTTTTTAATAAATCGTTAATATATTTAAAAAAACCGTTAACCCGTAACGTTTGATTTTTCGACGAAAATCGCAAAACATCGATTTAGAGGTATATTCGGTAATTCGTGGTAGAGGTTTTATTGATCACATAACGTTTTGTTACGATAACGAAATATTCTAGAACTATTTGTGGTTATACTACTATACTATAAACGATGAACAAGATTTGCATTGAGCTGAAATATATAGACGACCCATCACCCAGCAACAAGCAACGACCCAGTAACAAGACCCAGCTCTGACAAAAAATTTAATCGCTCACCGCAATATTATTTCCACATCGCTTGGTCCCTCAGGACTTAGAAGACTACCGGTTTGTGAACCGGTATAGCAATTCGCATTCAGGCATTCACCACAAATGCTTACTTTAATTCTCTCTTGAGACGTTATAGAGTATACGTAAGGCATCCTAAGGAATGCGGTAGTTAGTCCCAACGGAACTTCACAATGTAAGTGGTACGTAGGAGGAATATTACTTTGGACTAACATAGTGAAATGAATAAAACTTATGAAATGGTTTTATTCATTTCACTAATTCGGTGTTCAAATAGATTCTCAATTCTTTCGAAAATTTTAATGTTTCTTCCCTGAAAGAAGACGCCTGGACCAACTGGGTTTTTATAACAATCATTCGATGTTGAGTCCTGGAGATATCCAGGAAATTCTTCAAATTAGTAAGGCATTTGACTTGCACGGGCAATCTTGCATATAATGCATTGTTATAAACACATTCTTATTCTTACTTGTAGGCATTTTGGCTTTTTAATTCATGTAAATTTGATTTTTATATAAAGAATTTTGTGTATTTTTATAACTTGCGCCTTTGGCTCCAGCTTAAAAGTAAATAGGGAATTTTATTTACGATAAAAATATTTGCAGATCAATGATGTAACCTACAACATTATTACATTTATTTTTGGTTTGTCATGGAGGTTAAATTTTTCTAATTTAATGAAAGAAGGCATGCAGCAAGGCATAACGCAGACTAACTGCGTTATGCCTTGCTGCATGTTATACTATATGTACCTACGAGTACTAACCTAATCACTGACTTAAAAGTCCGTTCGGACTTTTTGGTCATAAGACTTAGATCCTTTAATTTTTTCTTGAGAAAATATAATATTCCCCAGAAAGTAAAATATAAAAACTCGTTTCGTACTTTTTTCTGTCTTAGCTTGTCGAAAATTCCTGTCAATAACCTTGTCTAATTTGACAGAATACCTAGGAAAGCTATCCCTAAGAACAAGAACTTAAATCATCATCCGTATGCATATTGTATTAACTTAAAGTAAGTTACCTGGAGCCGTTAAAATGCTTTCGTTAGACGGAAACAAAAATTTAACAGTAACTTTGGGCAAGAAATATAAACTTATCTCATCTGAGAATTTTGACGAGTTCATGAAAAGGCTTGGTGCGTAAATCTTCTCACTTTGAAAAAATTTGTAAAAGTATATTCTAGTATGTTTATTTTATTGAGATAGAGACAAAACATTGCACTGTCAAAAGAAAGAATAACAGAAAAAAGAAAGAAGAAAAACTAACCTTAAAATATAATAACTAAAATATATTTTTAAAAGGAGTCCCTTCTTTTTTAGTTGTATGACACAAAATAACATACCTACTAAACACATATTATCTCCAGGAGTAGTTTTGAAACAGTCAAGTATTTTAATCGCGGTTGTATTTCCTTGTTTTTTGTTTTTAAGATAATGGCAAATACATATTATTGTCAAGACCCATTAGGCTTGTAGCGCGACTGGATTATTTATTATTTAATTAGTCAGGTTGAGAAAAATTTAAGAAAATTTTAATGGTATGGCTTTTGTTTCATTTTTGCGACGATTGTAGTAACAAAATATCTTTCAAACAATTTTTCTACACATGTTGATTTCAATAGTGTATTACTTTGATTATAAGTTATAGTACAATTTGTTGTTACAGGTGTTGGTCTGATCACCCGTAAAGCGGCGAACGCTGTCACCCCAACAGTGGAATTGAAGAAGGATGGTGACAACTTTGTCCTGGTGACCTCATCCACTTTTAAGACCACGGAGATGAAGTTCAAACCTGGGGAAGAATTCGATGAGGAGCGCGCTGATGGTGCTAAGGTACTTAATAAATATTTTGTTTCTCGCGATAAAAACAATGGCAGATGCATTTATAATTTGTTTAAAGACTATTGTGAGTTATATTTGTGTACAAAACTTGAGTTATCCAAATATTAAAGTCGAGATCTCTATCGCTATTATAGGAAGTCATAGGGTACCGGCGGAAATCGTTTATTTGTCGAGCGATTCATATAACGGGGCTACAGGAATATATATATTATATACCAACAGCGCTAAAGATTTTCTAAAATAAAATTCAGTGTTTTAAAGCTAAATTCCCACGGACAATTTAATTTTTTTTAACAATGCAAGTTACAATAGGTAATTGACTTGTGAGTCATGGCATCCGTTTTCTATTCATGTTATTTAAATACAATTAAAGCATTATTACAACACAAGGGTTATCATTATAAAATAAGTGTTGCTATATTAAAATATGCAACCCATACAGAAAATGCTTAAACTAAAACATATTTTGTTTTATTTAGCACTTGTATTTCTAATACAACTAGTGCAATGTGAAAACTTATATTAATTAGATTTTTTTGCCGTCGTAATAGCGGCTATAAACTAGAAAGCATTACTTCAAAGTCATTTGAAGTAGGTATTTATATTAAACTTGATAACTGGCGATGCCTGTGGACACCTAGGTGCGACGCATGCGTAGCATCATATCTCCCATATAAACTTAATCAATATATAAACATCAAAATGTAGAACTCCCTTCTTGAACCTGGTTAGTCATACAAACATTTATAATACGCCTTTTTATTTTATTACCTAGATATAATTTAAAATTTTTAACGTTCAATGAATATTGCACTTGGACATTTCAATGACATTTATTTGTTTATGATAGACGAGCTGTAAAGATATGTTTATTATCGTCGTTTTAAACTAAATTAAATATTTTATTTGTCGTCAATTACTTCTTATGTTTACTTATTGAGTTTATTTATTCGATAGATTTTTAATAATAAAAGGTTTTATCATTACTCTATGGCTTTGTTAGGTGTTTGATCTATGCTATTCGAAAGGAGACTTACAGAGTTGACAAGACAAATGTGCAGACGTGTTTTATTCAGTCGTTAAAACGTAAATATTTTTAGGTTCGTAACAAAAAATATATAGTACATAATATGAGCACGTCGCGGTCGTTCTTACAATTTCACTAATTCCTCGACATATAATGTAACAAGCTGACGCGAACTATTCTTGGTAACAGCTAATCGTAACATGTACAAGTAAATACTAAGAAGTACGCTATTGTTATCAGTTTTCAGAAATAATCTAGACTTGGTTAGAACTATACTTTATACTTAGTTACGATGCTTGAGTTAGTATAGCATTATTAAATTCAAATCGCAGGAAACACAAAAATGTTCCGATTTCTAAGGAAAATCCTTGATAACTTATTACAAAAACATACGTACGTCAGATTTTGTACATTATACTGCAGTCTTACACCTACTAATCCTGTACCTGAATTCAAAACTTTGAGAATATACTATAACCCGTCAGCGTCATCTTTTGATTCGTTTTTGCAATTAAACTAATTCTTTACGGATCCACAAGACGGCGCATTATCTTATTGGCATTGTTTAAATCTTTTTACTTTTATTACAGGTTAAGACAACGTGTACTTTCGAAGGCAACACCCTGAAACAGGTGCAGAAGTCAGCCGATGGCGTGGAGATCACCTACCTTAGGGAATTCGGGCCCGAAGAAATGAAAGCTGTAAGTTGGCTTAGAACTGTATCACCAATGATTTTAATTGACCTTGGTAAAGTTGCTTAATATGTTTATTAAAATTGAGTAGTATTCTATGAACGCTATCAAAAAGTGTTTTTAAGGCTAAGTTTTTCTAAAAAGTTTTAAACTTAGCATAGGTAGGTAGGTATATATATTAAGTAATAACCAACTATGTCTAATACCACAATCGCGATAGTGATTTTTAGTAATCTTTATATGAATTGAATAAATAACAGCCAAATTTAGCACAAGTTACCTAATTAGTGATAATCTAAATGTCTCCGTGAAAAATGTGTTTACGGCCACCGCTTATTTTGCAAATATATTTTAAAAAAAATCTAATTTGTCTTCAGGTTATGACTGCCAAGGATGTCACCTGCACCAGAGTGTATAAGATACAATAAGCCACAAGACTGCAGGGCTGCGCCCACTACATTGTCCTATCGTTTTACATACATTTATTTAAACTACATAATTTAAGATATCTTCTGCTTAACTGTTGCAATCATTAGCACAATTTGTTTTTTGCCAAAAGTTTGAACGTGAGAAAACTATCATGTATATTGTATAAGTCTTTGCTGTGTATTTTTAATAAATAGTTTTCTACAAAACTGTGTTGTTATTTTCTATATCGTAATTACTGGATCTGAAATGATCCTTGTCTGTTTTAGTCCATAATAAAACAAAGCCGTGTATATAGCATTTGATATTAATGATGAATGAAGAATGAAATACCTTAGATGATGTTACCATGAGTTCATATTTATTTTTATCAATTACACAAATAAGCCGAATAGTCTATATACACTACTAATAAATTGATTTTTATGTAATAAAAAAAAACTTATACGTCGAATGGAAATTATAATGAAAACTATTTGATCAAATCTACTTGGTAAAGAAAGAAACCAAGGTGACCGTGTTTATTAGAATTCCTTACCTTTATAACCCGTTGGTTAGAAATTAAAAATTAGATGATAATTTAAAGTTTTTGTTATCCCTTTATTTAACACTGTTTTGATAAACTACGTTAGTGTCTGTGTGTTGCTTCATTGCACAAATTTTTCACCAGGCGCAACTTATTTAATTATTTTAAAAGGTAGTGCGACGTGCGGGAACCACTTAATTGTACTTGATCAGCGAAACGTCATAGAGGAAACAATTAAATGTTTACAAGAAGTTTTTAGAGTTTGGTTCTCCGACCCAGTCACTAACTAAATAATAGATATTGTGTCAAAAATCACAATATTAAATCATATTGTTAACGGTTTTAAGGATTCATATAAAATTAAATTTGCTAAAACTAAATTAGCCAAAACCTAGTTAAGTCCTACTAAACGCTTGTTTTGTAATTATCGATTTAAAAAAAACATCGATTTTAAAAATTAGCAGCTAATATATAGATAACAACTATTAGACGTTAAATTTTTTTCAAAGCAGAGTCATCTTGTGTCGTTTTTTGAAAACTAAAAAACATTTTCAAGTTTAAAATCCTTGTTTAATAGAGTCACTGTAAACGTCGAATGTTTTAATAGTTTATGAATAGCGTAATCTATATGAAGCATACTAAACCAGGTGTTTGCGTGATGTGAAGATCGTAATGATAATAAACGTCAATATTCCAGCCATTTAGGAGCCATCAGTCATTGCTTAGAGACGATGGCAAGCCGCCGGATGGGAAGTTCCCTTGGAGGATGGGATGACCTCTGGATTGGGATGCTACTTGTGTGGACAAGTTAGCCCCGACTCATCTTTTTCGAACAAGCATTTGTGCTGGTGGCGCGGCCGCAGAGCAGGTGGAAATTAATAATCGGCAAAAATATAAAAAACTTTCCTCCAACTTTGATTTCGTTCCCTTTGGAGTAGAGACTCTTGGGCCGTGGGCCTTAAGTTCTCAGGCGCTAGTCACAATACAGCTATGAAATGCTGCACCAGCATTAAGGGTAGACTGTCACACGGACCGGACAAACGGACGAACTTTTTTAAATTTATTTTAGTTTTTTTTAATCCATTTTTAATTATCATTACTACGTAGGTTAAGAATATTGTATTATATACTCTTAATTAAAATATGATATAAAGTTTATTGAAAATAAATCTTGTAATCACTATGACTTGTCTGTGGCATTGTATGTGGGGATGTGGGTAATATATTGTAGATCGTAATACGTCTATTTACTCATAGATGGTGCTGTAGTTCGTACAGTTAATACTGATATCCTTCAAATGACCTTTATTCGTGTTCAATTCTCTTTTCAGAATTTTGACAGTTGTGCAGCGGCAGTTGAACAGTGGCTAGGGTCAAGAAAAATTAACAAAAAGTAAGTAAATACCAATTTACATACTAGATTAATAATTCAATTGTATATGTTACATATGAGAATAGTTTACATGTTTCGGCTTAGTGTAAAAAAAAATATTTACAATCACGTAGGTATATAACTATGATGTAATTTTAATGAAATAGTTCTGTTTTTATAAATTCATTTCATGATTAATTGCATATTTTAACTTTTCATATTATTAAGCTCCTAGATCATTATTTTAAGTTATAACCTTTTTTACTTTTATAATATATTGTGGCTATTTATCCCTCATATTTATTTAGAGTGAAACTATAATATGTACAATAGATAATGTTTTAAATATATAATGATAAAATTTTAGGAATTTACATTTTGCATATATATATGCATTTTCTTTAATTTACAGTTGACATTGTAAACATACATTGGATTTTTTTTAAATTTTAATAGTTAAATTTTCCCTAAAATTTTGATTTAAAGACCAGTAAAACGTTATATATCTATATGTCATCACATACCTAAAGATTAATTAAGATGTTTTTACTTTCAATGACCCTTCAAGGTCAGGGTCACCCTATCACTTGTCTCTTGCATACTTTCAATTGAAGAAGAATTGTAATCTCTTTAAATAAGTTTATAATTCTACATTGTGTCTGTAATCTACTCAATATATCATAATGCTATATTAGATTAAAAAATACATTGAAAATGTCATAATTATTGTACAATAAGTTGTATTGAAACTCATTACAAATTGAAGATAGTTTCACTAATAAGTATGTAATGTTATTGAATTTAATATATTTTTATTAACATCTGTTTGATATTTTTCGAAATTGGAAAACACTACAAGTTCAAGTGAACTGACAAGATAAACTTCAATATTAGTTTATTTTGGTGAGTTAATAATGTAAAGTCGAGTATCTTTCCTTTTTTATTTAATTTTTATATAAATTTTACACAATGCCACCTAAAGGTAAAAAAGGCAAGAAGGGACCACCAGAATCAGGATGGATGCCTGGTTTTGGTACCAAAGGTATGCCGATTTGAAAGTTATCAATAACTTCTGGGGTTCATTCTTATTAGAAAATACAAATAAAATGTTTTTCCATTCAAGAAACAATGTTTTATTGTTTAGTAACATTTTTAGGGTTTAGCAGATAAGTTTATATTGATTGTCTAAAGATTTATCTAACAGCTTCTTTATCATATAGTATACTCTACTTTTATTTACTTGTACCTATAATTCCTTTTTTGGGTTATTTAATTCTAGACAATCAAATCAATTTTTTCACTATATATGAATTTCATTGATATTATCAAAGTTCAAAGTCCATAACCAGTCTCATAACTAGTAATACTGGAGGTGTGTCTAATTTAAATATTTAAATTGTATACAATTTGCTGCTTCAATATTCAAATACTGATAAATGTCAATAATTGACTGGTTAAAAACCAATGTATTGATAAACTTACATCTTACGTATTTGATATAGATGAAAGTGCTTTTATAATTGCAATTTTAAATGAAATTTATGCTTGTAATAAAAAAATTGCGGTCCTAGCCTAATTGACTTTTTTTCTTGTGTGATTTTAATTGGGCCCCACCCAATTGAGAATATAGTCTGAGTAACATGCATTTTATCAAAAAGGATTTAAACTATCTCAATACATTTTCACATTAATTAATATTAATAAGTATGTATTTAGCAAAACAGTTCATCTGTTTTTATATTTGCCTTTGCTTATGTTTATGTACTGTATATATACTGATGTTTATATTTGTTTCAGCCACAATGAGTACCTACTTCCAATACCCAACCCCCGAAATCCAGGAGGAGCTGAAGAAGATAGCGCAGGCTATTGTGGCTCCTGGCAAGGGTATTCTTGCTGCTGATGAATCTACTGGTAAATATGCTGTAACTTCATTCTAGCTTGGTTTATCTAGCTATTTTCTAGAGTTATAGTGTAAATAGCATGCTCATTCGGTAAATAATCACACTTTTCTAAGATAACAGTGTAGAAAAAAAGGGGTTTACATTCATAATTAATTAAGATATTGTTTTTTTATGACACAACAGAACATTATACAGACCACATTTAGTTATTTTTCAAGACTTATGTTATCCTGCTGTTGTCGTTAATTTTATAGCACCTTTAGTAATCTTATCATTATATTACAATTGATCATACTTTATGATCAAAGAGTATAAAATAACAATAATCCTTAAAAGATCATAGAAATTAAAATAGCTAATAAACTAATTAAATTAAATAGTTTTTCCTATTTGGTCTATATAAAAATCATATATAAACAATTAAACATGACAGAAGATGGTCATATTAAATCGCGTTCATGTATAACCTTGTCTTGCAGGAACCATGGGCAAGCGTCTCCAAGACATTGGAGTGGAGAACACTGAAGAGAACCGTCGTAAATACCGTCAGCTTCTCTTCAGCACTGACCCAGTGAGTAAAAAGAATTTAAAAACTATATTCAGTCAAATATGCTACATAATTATGTAGCATATATTATAAATTTATAATGATCAATTTACACTTCTAAATTGAGAGAAATTTATAAGTACCTTTTAGGTATCAATTTAGTTCCAATTGTTGTACAATCTGACTTACCAGCGCCTTTGCCTATATTATAACAACCAATTTTATTGATTTTATACGTATAAAGAATGTTGTATGAATCCAGTTGCCGATAAACTAAAATAAATTTAAAGAATTATTAAATTTTCATAATAATGTTGAATATTAAATATATTATATAATTTTAAGTTTTTCTTAAATTAGAGTTGTTAATTTATCCTACGATTAATCCTCGTGATTTTTTATGAACTATTGGCACAAACGACTAGTAAAAACATGTGAATTCTATTTGACGTGATCGTTTCTAGATCAAGTGCCAAGGAATTCTATACGGTAATAGTAATATTGAATAACTGCGCATAATATTACACCTGGTGCTCGCAACTTCTTATGACTAAAAGTAGTGAAAATGTAGGTAACATTTCTTATAATATAGCAATAGTTGTTTCGATTCGAAAACTGTATTGTAATACACACATACATAATATATTTCGTTTAGTACCAGTGAAATGAGTTCGGTTTTCTGTAAAAAAAAATAAGAAAATTAGCATTCTTCATAAATTTTATCTATGTAAAAATAAGTAAAAATGTATAATTTTAACTTATTCACATAAGAATCTAACTGGATCTAGACACGAAATTAAAATATGTATATATTTTGGATCGCAAATTAGTAACCAAATTTTATCGAGTGACAAAATCTGTTAAGCAAGCTAAAATATGTTCACGAAAGAAACTCGTTCATATATATATCAATATTTAGGTAATACGATATTTAATATTGTGTTGTCTTGTGAGACAAATATTTCTCCGTCTGTTTGTCTGATGAATTTCAATCAAAGAGAGATTCACATTATAATATATACGGAATTTATAGGTAAAAATATAGATTTCCTGCACAGCTCATATTAACAGAAATTAGAATAAGCTTTCCCTTTTAACTCAGTACATGACTTAAGTCACGTACGATAATTTGAATCTTGCTCGTTATTTGGAGGTGGCTTTTGGTTGCGGTTATTTATGATAACGATTAACTGTGTATTATGGAAAAGAACCATTCCATACTATCCCTGGAAAACTAGACGCAGGGAGGTAGCAGAATTATTTATAAGAAATAGAATTATAGTTCTACAGATACAGCTTACTAGTCCAAATAACTTGTTAATTTCTTTTAAAATTCATATTTTTGCAAATTTATAGTTTGTTTCTGAAACTATTACGTACTTTATTAGTGATAAACGTGTATTTTCTTAGGCCCTCTCTGAGAACATCTCTGGAGTGATCCTTTTCCACGAGACCCTCTACCAGAAGGCCGATGATGGCACACCATTGGTCCAACTGCTGGAAAAGCGCGGAATCATCCCCGGAATCAAGGTCGACAAAGGTGTCGTGCCACTTTTCGGATCTGAAGATGAGTGCACCACCCAAGGTAAGAGACACTTCAATATCTTTGTGTACTGTGACATGAAGGCGTTTATTTTTATGTTTTTTTTTTAAATCACAGGATGACCTTTTTCTACTTAAAAAAATCCCTTCAGCCGCCATTGATAACATATAACACTAAGTAATATATATACATAGACTGTAGAACTCTCTGCTAATGTATGAATTGTATTCGATAATGATTGGCAGAAGAAAGTTGTTGGTGTTATTGCACTTTAGCACAAAAAATATATGTAGTTGTGTATTACTGACTTTATAAATAACCCAGTTTAATATTGCATCATAACTTTAGAAAAAATACGTGGAACTTGTTGTTGACTTATTAAAATAAAATCTTATCAAAGGTTATTTTGATGCAAGGAGCTAAAATATATGAGATAAAATATTACAGATATTTTTATTAATAACATTTCTTGTGTAAACAAAAATATTATTGTTAATTAAATAGCCCCTATTTAAATAGGTAAATGATTTATTTATATTAAGACCAAACCACTTCTAATGAAACACCGTACACATATACAATTCTTACTCTGACAACCCAATACTTGTATATAATATAACTTTTTATTCTACATATATCATTCGAACATCATTTTACGTTTGTTTCAAGAAATTATTCATTATTATATGGTATGTACTGACACTACCAATTAATATCTTTTTCCAGGTTTGGATGATTTGGCCCAACGTTGCGCTCAATACAAGAAGGACGGATGTCACTTCGCCAAGTGGCGTTGCGTACTGAAGATCGCGCGTAACTCACCATCCTACCAGGCTATCATGGAGAATGCGAATGTCCTCGCACGTTACGCTTCTATCTGTCAAAGCCAGCGTATCGTTCCTATCGTGGAGCCAGAGGTGTTACCCGATGGTAAGTCTAGTGTACAAACTGAATCAGTGTCATTTTGGTGTTTCATTTGCTTGTGACCTTTTGTCGACTAAAGATGTAAGGTGTGGACGCTGAAAGATTATGACTTCTTTTGTTTTTATATTGAATGTTATAAATTTTCACTAGGTGAACATGACTTGGACCGTGCCCAGAAAGTAACAGAAGTGGTGCTGGCTGCTGTGTACAAGGCTCTTAGCGACCACCATGTCTTCCTTGAGGGAACACTCCTTAAGCCTAACATGGTAAGAATACAAATATTTAAACAAGGTCTTGAGCTCTGTTGAAACTTAATGAAATTTTGTTTAAATAATTTTCTTAGATTAACGTTTCTCTTTTAATGTATCTATAAGTTTCCTATTCCATTTCCAGGTGACCGCTGGACAGAGCTGCAAGAAGCAGTACACTCCAATGGACATTGGCCGTGCCACTGTTACTGCTCTACTCAGAACTGTGCCTGCTGCTGTTCCCGGTGGATATAAACTTTATAAGAATCTAATAAAATTTTAAAAATTTGACCTAAATTTATAAAACGTATAACGATTTTATAAATCTAATCTAATAAATTCTAAATTATTTTCAACACATGTCATATTAGTTTGGTTTAGTTGAAAAAAATATGATTGGACATCAAATATAAACAAATTAACAAAAATTTTGATTGGACAGATTGCCATTTTAGAATCTAATTACGTTTAAGCTGTTTATTTTATAGAAGAAAACAATTGTAGGAATCACATTCCTCTCTGGTGGCCAGTCTGAAGAAGAGGCGTCCGTGAACTTGAACGCTATCAACACCGTCGACCTGAAACGCCCATGGGCCTTAACCTTCAGCTACGGTCGTGCCCTTCAGGCCTCAGTGCTCCGCGCATGGGCGGGCAAGCCTGAGAACCTACTAGCCGGACAACAGGAATTGTTGAAGAGAGCTAAGGTAATGTACCAGGGTTGCAGTAACATGTTAAAGGTGAACTTGATGAACCATGTCTCTTTTGTGTAAATGAATGAAGGTGCAGTTTGGAGGAGTTTAAAAGTTGAACTACAAATAATTAAAATGTCTGTTCATATGGTATAAAACAACAAATAATAGGTAGGATATTTTTTTTACCTACACACATTGGCTTTGGCACAATTATGATTGTAATCTACAATAATAATTATATAACATAATAATGGTGTTTATGTCACTTATCTATTAGATATTTGAAATCTAATCAAGTATAAAAATATGATAAAGTTTGGATAACACTCAAAAATTAATACTATTACAAATAAGGTAAGTATGGTAGTGCCTAACCTCTAGATGTCATAGAGTAGTAGAATTAATATAATCTTTGGTTGTTTACTTGAAAAATGTTCGTAGTATTGAAATCAGTTTTCCATCTAATTCAGAATATATTCGTTTGAACGTTATTCAAGTAAGCGATTTAATAAATTCGCTGTTCATGAAAAAGTATGGCTTTTATTTTCAGTATTTTGATATATTTCACTATTTATATTCTTCAAGCTAAAACAAAAATATATTTTTTCATGAATTGCATAGAATTGTGTTGTCTTTGCTTTTGATGTTTATTAACAAAACTTTTTTGTCTCACGCTCATTCCAACATTGCATCGACGACGCCACGCCGGAAATGCATTTCTGCCAACATTACTGTAAAAATAGGCCAACGGTCTTGCAGTTAGAGGACAATATGTCGCCGGATCGATTCCTTCCCTAGCCGCCTCAAAATCTAACTTTGTTAAATCACACGCGTACTAATTCTTTATATTTCTGTTATCATTTTGTTCTTTTTTTTTGAAGTTTATATTGTTCTCGAATGTTGCCACAAATATTTTATATTTCTTTAATTGCATTTATTATTTTGACTGCATGTAATGAGATGTTAATTTTAAGCTTACAGTTTTAACTTAGTAGTATGCATGATAATCAACCAAGTTATAATTTAGTTTTTTATACAAAATAATTTACATTATCTAATATGTTATTTATGACTTGGTTGCTTCATTGTATGAGAGGTATTTGAAGATAAATAAATATTTTTATTTACTCATTTCACCTCTTGTACTATGTAAGTTTTGTGTCTATTGCACTAACCATTATGTACTGCTTGTTGTTAGTAAAAACATAAAATGAACATTGTTGTTTTTTTCCTCATTCCGTTATGTAGTTGTACCTAATTTTTTTAATCACGTAGATTTGACAAACATGCCTATCACATTTTGCTAATACCTACCTTTAGTATTTAAAGTTTGAATTAACTTATTGTATTTTGACTCATTTAAAACTGAGAAATCCCAAATATGGTTTACGTTATCAAATAACAAGAATATATTTTTTGTACTATTAAAAAAAGGTCTCGTAAAGTATTTTTAGATAGTAAACAATTTTGGGACAGTTCCAAACTGATCACGTAGTTATGTCGTGTCTAGCTGCGTCACTGTGACGTACATTCTAGTTTACAATATGTATTAGGTTATATGTATATTATATTAACCATACGTTTCTGTATGTCATAAAGGAAAGAATGCTCGCATATTTCCATTTCTGTCTGTAAAGAAGTCTGAGCTACTCTACTGATATTCATAACCGGTAATCGTTCGCGATTTTAAGTTTCATGTCAAACTTATACTCTGTTTCATTGATTACCGAATTGGTATAGAGAATCAAAAACTAGTGACATAATATTAACGCAAAAAAAGTTGCCAGCAAATGCTAGTCTATTTTCAATAATCGCATTGCAGGTTCTATTTATAAGTGACCAATCTAATTTTAATTAAATTTAATACAGATATGGCTGTTATTTCAATTTTTAATTGGTATTCGAGTGGTCTCCAATCCACGCCAACAAACCTTTACTAACAAGAAAATTGAAAGGGCATTTTTCGTCTATTATTTTATTTAAGCAGGATACATAGATCTTATCCTGTTTTGCTAAGAATATTATAATTTTCAGGGTAACGGTCAAGCTTCACAGGGCAAATACGTCGCTGGATCCGTCACAGGTGTGGGCGCCGAGGCTGGTCTTTTCGTAGCAAACCATGCTTACTAAATACCATAACTAAAAGTAAAATTCGAGCAAAGCCGACTATATAACACTAAAACATTTCCGCCATTGTGAATTTAGCAAGTCTTTAAAACGTCACCGTGACAGTTACCGCGCAAATGACATTTAGTTTTATGCACAAAAATTATTAGAAACAAGTTGAGCTTTTCTACTCAAATTAACCTCTAAATTGGAGATGGATTTGTATCGTCGGCTTATTTTATGACATAGCAATCAATTACTAAATTTTTCACGCCCTATTTAATTCTATGTAACTAAAATCTTTGTTTCCTTCTAAAAACTTAGTAAAAACATGTTTAGATGGAAATATTGATTAATTAGATATTATTAAAGCTATTTTTGCTTAATTGACATTGCTATGTAAGTCCATAGAGATTAGAGTAACAGTATTTACTCGAATATAACCTCGAAATTAAAAATTTACTATTGTTGTTCCATGAAAATTAGATAATGTCGTTTTAGATTGAGATTAGGCATTATGCATCATGTAGTGTGACATTTAATATTTATTATCTACATTTAATTTATGAATCATAGATAAAACGTAAAATTTTAAACATGGATACTATGTAGATCAATAGTTTTATACGATCAAGACAAATGTATTTTATTTGTATAAATTATTTATTTACACTATTATTTTAGTATTTAAATGTATTTTGATAATTAAGAGTAAAGTGTAATGTTCATGGTTGATTTATTATTTCGCCCTAATGTCTTTCCGTAAATCCAAAATAATCTTTCTTAAAACCGGACTTATTCATGTTTAAGTTAAAGGTAGTAAATAAGATTGTTAAATTTATTTCCTGATGTAAGTAGTTTATATTTAAACAATGCAAATCTTACTTCTCAGTCTCAAAAGCACTGCTTATAAGCTCATGCTTTGCCCTTTTTTCGAAAGTTCCAACCGTACTTAAAAACATCACGACATTATAAACCAAACTCCTTTGCAACGTCTTTCTGTCTCGCCATAAACTTATAATCTACTGCTTGGATGTTTGCGGTGCTTACCAATCCATAGATTCAAATCAAAATATGGTTTATTCTTGTACCTAAGTGTACACTTACTTATGACATAAAAAACAAAAAAAATGGTTCTAAACTGCCAGTTCTCAAACCAATAGCGTACAACGGTTGGGAAGAACTGGTAACAAACTCCATCACTCTTCACTCTCAATCATGCTCTTCGTCACAAGTTAAAGCTGTTAATTATTAATATTAGGTCCTTACATATGAAATTGGCGTTTTGTATGGGAGGAACAAAAAGTCGAATATTGTTAAATATAATATATTTAATTAATCAAAGTATGAACCATTATTTTCTATGCACTTTTGCCATCTCATAGGTAGTTCATTGATCCCTTTACTAAAAAAACCAGTCGGACGAGAATCAATAAAATCTGTGAAGGCGATTTAGACTGCCCCATCAGAGTTAAATTTTTTCCCTTGCAAGAAGTTGTCCAAATTTCGAAAAAAATGGTAATCTGTTGGAGCAAGGTCCTGGGAGTACGGAGGATGTCTTAGACATTCCAATTGAAGCTCTTCTAATTTGGTAGCCGTCTGTTGTGCAGTGTGTGGTCTAGCGTTGTCGTGAAGTAGCAGTGGCGTGGAGCGATTGACCAGCCTAGGTTGTTTAACCGCTAGCTTTTCCATCATGGTTTGCAATTGCTGACAATAGACATCAGCCATAATAGTCTGGCCAGATTTTTAGTCCACCAAACGCTAACAAGTAACTTTTTTGGGGTTAATTTTCGCTTGGGGCAGGATTTGGCTGGCTGGCCAGGATCCAACCATTGCGCTGAGCGCTTCCGATTATCGTAAAGAATCCATTTTTCATCACAGGTAATGATTCGGTTTAAAATACCTTCATTATTGTGCCGGTTCAGTAATGTAACGCAGCAGTCGACGCGCGTTTGCCGGTTTGCTTCAGTCAATTCGTGAGGTACCCATCTTTCAAGCTTTTTATCTTCCCAATTTGCTTCAAGTGAATTAAAACAGTTTTATCACTAACACCGTAGCCTGCAGCTAACTCGGACGTGGTTTGCGATGGATCCGCTTCCACAATAGCCTTCAATACTTCATTATCAACTTGGGTCTCAGGCCGTCCACGGGGCTTGTTCTGCAGGTCGAAATTTCCAGAACGAAAACATTGGAACCAAAAACGAACTGTGTTTTCTTTTGCAACATGACCGCTATACACATCATTCACCCTTCGAGTCGTTTCCGCAGCACTAGTGCCACGGTGGAACTCGTACTCGTAAATAATGCGATACTTTAAGTTTTCCATTTTGTAAAATGAGTGACGCAAACAGAAAAAAACAAATGAATGACGGTCATCGAAGCACAAAAAATACATGAGTAAATGAGCTGTACAAATTTGAATTTGGAATTCCTTACCAAAGAGGAGAACATCGTGATAAAAGTGGCCAGTACGAAATACGCCAATTTCATATGTAAGGACCTAATACAATTCAAGAAAATAATGAAAGAGGAAGGTTTTGTATATAATTTCTCAAAGTTTGCTGGTCACTATTCTTATGGTAGGGGAGCCCAAGAGGGTTTCGGGATTTACTAAAGCGCGGCAGATTACTATATAGGGGATACCTTGTACCCGGTTAATACCTCCACAAAATATGAGGCCCATATATAAGGCCGCGCGTGAAGGAGACAGGATCAGATTAGTAAAAAAATTGACCATCAGAAATTCCCGAGCGTCAGATTAAGGTAGGTGAGTTAATTACATCCTAAAGTGTATATTCCACTAATCTGACAATTTGAGAGTGACGGAAAAAAAGGGGGGGCAGTTGTAAAAAAACGTCATCTCGACATTCTCGAGCGTAGCTAATTTTTCTTTTATTTTGAAGGAAATAATTCCAGAATAATGAAAAATATATAATCTGACGATTTCCGCAAGCCGAAATAACAAAAATTCGTCGATAAAGTTAAATGCGTGCAGCTGCGTGATGCCTACATTTCCTTAAACCGATCGGAATCTACTAAACGGCGTTCAAAATATTTCCCTCAAAATTACATTTCCTGTGAATTTGAACCGATTCGGACCGATAGATTTTGAGAAATTTTGAAAAATCTTAAAAAATAAGAAATATTTTTTTTTAAGTGGTTTCTTTATCGATCAACTTCAAAAACTAATCCGCCTTTGAGCTTGAAAACCACGTCGATCGCCACCAAGCTGGTCAAAAGCGGTTGATTCGTTCGAGAGATATCGTACATGAAAGAAACCCGAAAAGTGTTTTTTCGGGATTACTCGAAATTTGTGGTTCGATCAATTAAAATTGCAAAATTACTTATGAGAATGATAAAACTGCGTCGAATGCCGCCAACCGCGTGAAAATTGCTTGATCCATTCAAAAGTTATTGCGGTTTGAAAATTCCAAAAATAGTGTTCTATGAAACTTCTATCAGACTTTCGAGCTGGGAGAGCTCAAATGCATAGAAATGTTATTTCTTTGAACTCAGCGAGCTCAAAATATCAATTTTAAGCGCCCAGGAATGGAATTAGCGGGAAGTTGCAGGGATGGCCCTTTAGGTGAACCGTTTTTCTATTTTTTTGTCAGATCAGGCGAATCCCTCTAGATAATCGTCAGATTATGAGACAGTACGTTTAGAACATAAAGATGAACCACATATATCTTAATCTGACGCGCTTGAGTATTTCAAAATTGCGATTTTTTTTGCAAATTAAGAAATGGCTGTGGGTTTGCGTCCCATCGAAATCGTCAGATTAGTGAATGAGAGATTTTTTTGGTGCACTTAACACTCCCTTAGAAAATCTGACGCGCTCGATAAATTTTTTTTTTTAATTTTCAACCCTTAAATACAACCACCCGCATCATGCAAACGATCAGATTAACATACGTACATTATTAAAAATACGTAGGGCATAGATGCTATCAATATCTGACGCGCTCGAGGATGTCCATGCAACAGTTTTTTTTACATATTTAACTATCTATAGCCGCTTCCCCACCGATGAAAAGGAATTTATCATATAACATTTTTTTCTTCTTTTTATCTAAGCTTTGTATCCCAATAGGTCTCTACGACGCTCGAGTAAATCCCCATTTAGCATCGTGGGCTCCCTACCATTATAAAATAAATTTATACACGCAAAATGCGCCGACCGACCGAGTTTCAGGCGCTAAAATTGTCTTTTAAAATTTTAGGCAATGAATTTTCTGTAGTTATCGATTTTCGATTTTTTTATTCATACATGTCGGATAAAATACTACTTTATTCATCGTATTTTGAGCAATAAACTTTTCCAATATTTTATAACAAAACATCTGTCAATAATCACATCACAATCCTTTGTTTTAACAATATTAAATGTAAACACTCTCTAGATTTTACTTAATCGTTTGTTAAATATTTGATGTAGTCGAAACAACACCTTATATTACGCTCGAAATTCTTAACCTGTCATATTCCCCATCCCTCCGCAATTTGCCTAATGTAGGTGCTTAATGACCCCATGCATAGTAATTTAAATAATACGATGAACGATCAAATTTTCCACTAGCCCATCGATTCTGTCACACATGGAAATTCACTAAAGCGTTGACACTGCCTGTTGAACCGACTTAATTGAACTGTTCAAGGTCATCTTTTTACTAAACGACCGCGACACGACCACGGACGACCTTTTTTCTCTATATCTAGTAGGCACTTTCTGAGGAGAGAGAAAAATTAAACAATGTCAAAACTTAAGACCAGGATAATTATATGTCTTTTTAGAACGGCATTTCGTTTCTAGCAGTAGTTGCTTCAAATGACGCATTCTGAAAAGAATTTTTTTATCCGGAGAAACTTAGGTATAATAAGAAAATGTAATCGCTTCGCTTAAAATTTAATGGACGTCTTTCTAAGACATGTCATAAAAAACGTGAAACGTAGTGAACCTTGTTATACGTGAAAGTTTTACGACATTGTAACTTATTATCGGGAAAATTACTTGGTTATCCACA